CATGACATCTGCGTCCATAGATCTGTTTATCCTTCCAGTTTGAGTTTCACTAATTGATGTTTTAATCAAGCAACCTGAAGGAAGGACATCAATGTCCAGAGTTTCCATTAGGAGCTGATTACCGTACAGGAAATAAATGAAGGTTCTGCAGATGTGTTTGACTGAACAGGCTCATTCTGATTATCATTTTAATTATTTATTCCTTTCAATGACTTTATGAACATAACCTAGTTATATTCTTACATGCTAAACCGACTGACTAGACCACCATCAGAGATGTTTGAATCCATTATGTTTGTGTGAGGAGGTGTTCCGCCTGGTCTAGTTCTAGGCCATCAGCTGTTCCGCTCTCATTCTCACGGAGAACCGGTGGTTTCAGATCAGCTGTGCAGCCTGGCGGCTCGTATCCTCCTGCTGAGTCATGGTTAGTGTTCATGTGACGTGCAGAGATGGAGCGAGTCCTTCAGAGCTCCTGTCTCTTTTCAAACAGCAGCTGCTTCTTTGTGTCATTTCTCCAAAGAAAAGGATTTAAATTCATCAAGCTGCTTTGTCCTGGATGCAACCACTAACGTTTACCCTCCACCCTCCCCTCTGTCTGCATCCATCATGCATCTCCATCCTTTTCAAGATTCATTTAAACAATCGATCCAGTTTAGTTTTCTCCTTTTATCATTCTTCTTTCACTAACTTCAAAGAGAGCATGTCTCTAAAGGAGGGCGGGTCCAGGAAGGGGGGGGCAGCCGTACTCTTCTGTTGGAGGTATGATGAAAACCTGATTTCAGAGCAGAGTTTTTATCCGGCTGCTTGTTTTACTTACAGAATTATATTTGTAGTCTGGATGCAGTCAGACATTTTCAGCTCCATCTCTGCCGTCTTTCATGGCGGCGCTCTGCCCTGATGTGATGCTGCTGGATTTTCCTTCCTGGTGCATTATGCCGTACCGTGCAAACAGTTTTATATGGAGTGAATGTTCTTCTATTATTGTTGCAAAGAAATTTTAAAATGGCAAAATTGCTTTAAAAGCCCTTTTTTTTTATAAAAAAAAATTCATTTCTGGATTCTGTTTTCTTCAAATTACCTTTTAGGCCACATGTTTTTCAATTGCTACAGGAATGGAACGGTATTCACGCCAGAGTTTTTCTTCTCCTCTGCCTGCACACGTGCTCAGTGTGAGAGATTGCTGAAGAGTCAATGACTTTATGCATGTAACCGATTTTACATAAGGCTGACACAATGAATCAGATTAATTGGGATTAATTGATTATTGAAATAATCCTCAACTAATTTAGTAATCAATTGATCGGTAACTGGAGTATAGAGACCGTAAATGATGCCTTTACCTGACAGAGCGACCCTCCTTGAGCAATAATTATATAAAAATAGTTTTTAAAAAAAATGTGTCATTTAAGATAAAAATAAACACTTTTTTGTTCATCAATCTGCTCTATCAGAACTCCTCAAGTGGAAAAGTTTGAGTTTCACCTGGTTTAATTTGGTAGAAAATCTTCTTTATGGAAACTTTGGCTGTCTGATTATTAATCGAAAACATAATCGACAGATTAATCGATTTGCAAAATAATTGTTAGTTGCAGCGCTAGTTTTTAGGAAAGTTTTAACCACTTTGACTGTGTGACCCGGCCTGACCTCTGATGACACGTGTCTTGCATTGGCGCTATAATAATAAACTGCACTGGATAAAGATTATTTGGGTTTAATCTTGTAGAAATTGAGCCTAGATTGGTGTATTTTATTTCTTTTTTTAAGATTTTAACGGATCAAGGTTTGCCAAAAAAAAAGAAAAGGCTGAAATATCTGAAATCTTTCAGAGCTTAGTTATTCATGGACTGTTGAGGTTATGAAAAAATAACCATCAAATCTAGCGCATGTTCTATAAGAAAATGGCGAATAATAGGGACGAATTTGGAAAATTGAGTCTGGAAAGGGGAAATTTACAACTAGAAATGTGAAGTTAACCCGTCACTGGTGTTGGAATTATTTAATGGATCATTATCTATACCAAAAACTAACATGTTCTTAGTGATTTAATGAATTTAGCGATCACTGAGGCTGGGAGCGGCCATTTTTGCCCAAATATAGTAGCCCCTCCCTCCTGCCGTCTTCCAGCAGTGACGTCACGGTGCGGTAAGCCTAGCGCCATTCTCCCTGTTTACAAGCAAAATCAATGGGAACTACTAGACACATCTGCAATCAACAACAATTATTGAAGATTTCCAGAGGACTTCACCATTGAAATTCACCAGAGCTATAGTGAAACTGACAATGCACACGTGCATGGCAGCTGGATGCTGGAATACATTGGGTAAAAGTGGAAAAAAAAGAGTTATTTCACCTTTCTGATTCCTGATCCTCCACGGACGGGTTGGTCGTTGGATCGCCAACTTGAAGAGGGAGGATTTGCCATCGAACTTCTGGCCAGGGAAAAAACCCGTAATATGTAGCCAACATTTGGAAGAAGAATGTTTTCAAGATGACCTGGATAATAGCGCGTTGTGACAAACACCAGATACAGCACTGGGACTTGATCAACAGCCGATACCGCACCGTGACGTCACTAACGAGTAGGTGGCAGTAGTGTTCTTTGACAAACATGGATGCCTCCAGTAAAGCACATTCAGATGAAAATTACTCTGAATTAAAAACACTTTATTATTGAACAGTATTTAATACTTTTATATTTTAAGAACTTTCAGAAGTTTGAACTCTGAATAAGAGCGGACTTTTCCTTTAAAATCCAAGGGAGGAACCAGTGTGAGACATAAAATAATTTTTTTTAAGGTAGATCTGCTATGATAGAAAACCCAATAATTAAGATTTTCCCTTTATTTTTCACATCAGTGGAGATAGAGAGCGGAGAATAAAATGGCCACATGTCACACCTGATGTCATCATTACATTCCGTTCGCCATCATGGCCTCTGATGCGCAGCAGAGCAGAGAAGATGCAGGAAACCTCAGCTTCAGGTCTGTTTGTGAAATCTTTGAAACTAGATTACGTCACCAAAGCTGTCGGAATAATCCGGAAGCAGAACAGAACTGTTCATCCTGACCTTCCCTTCGGCTGCGGTTGGATGAACAGATCAGGTGGGCAGCAGCGGATGTGTAGCTTCCCAGACTGCTGAGTCATTGTTCATGCAGGATCACAGGTTTGCTCATGTTCTGCAGGAATGTTTCTGCGTCTGTTTACCCACCTCAGTCCGCTTCAAGTTATTACTGCATACGGGCAGTTAGATGTTGAACTTCATGCCTCTGGGTCTCTGCTGCACGGTTTTAGAAGTCATCCCGGATGGTTCAACCAACACCCCGTCGCCCTGCGTTCTTTTGGCCACCGCTGCAGTCTCCCGGCATTCTCCGGAGGTTTTCCAGCTGAGTCCAAGCAGCAGACAGAGAGGCACGGGGAGGGAGGTCTGACAGGAGCCGACTGATGGTGGGAACGGCAGCCAAATGCTGACGCCGGACAAACGGCCCCAAGCAGAAGGAATTCATAGGAAAGCCGTTCCTCCGTGTCCAAAGACACATCAGTCCTAACAGCCGTTGGCTTCCTTAGAAGCTGCTTTTCTCAGATCTTCTCCAGAAACTTTGATTTTATTTGACTGTACTGCAACATCTTCGTTCGCTTTCCTTTATCCACAAAAACACCAATAATGCTGGAAAGTAAACACAATTATTTTATAACAGTACATGAGGAAAAAAGCTGAGGCAGGAATAATGATCAGGCGTTCAGTAGAACATCTGCAGAGCTTTTTAAGTGCTGTCGCTGTGGTTGGGGGACGCATAGTGACGGCTCAGAGCCACTCCACACATCCACACTTAAAGGAAAAGTGAACTTTTCATAGTTGAAAAGAGAAGAAAAACACCTTAAGTGAATTTAAAGCAACAGCTGAAGTTTGTCGTCTATTAAATCGTCTTTATTACCTTTTTATATCCCAAATATCAGACAGGAGATGTTTCATGATGTCTTTAAGACAAAGTTTCCATCTGTGAAAGCACTGAATGTTCCCCTCCCTGAACACAGGGGCAGATTTAGGAAATTTTTGGCCCTAGGCAAAGACAGGGGGTCCTCTGAACTGAGAATATAACATATAGAACAGACCCATTCTACAGATAGAGAAACGCTAATAGAATAGACATCCATTATCTGTTCTAGGTTGTGTCCCTCTCTTCTTGTCCCTCTCTTCTTGTTTTCCTCTCTATGTTTTGTACTCAGCTGACTTTTCATGCTGTCTCTAAAGGAATGAAAGATTTTTTCCAAGCACTAAGCTCACTTAGCTGATTGCTCCTTCCTGCGTTTCCAAAAGTAAATAACCCAGTCCTTCTTTTCACTGTAGACAAGCCATGATCTGCTTATCTGTTTTCCATTTTTCATTTGGATGAAATAATAGCTGCATGAATCATGACAGCAGACAAGATAGAGGAGAGCAGGAGGCGGGGTTACCAATCTACTCGCTCTGGAGAGCAGAGTTCGCTGCTTTTAGATGAAAAAGCAGCGAAGAAGAAAAAAGTCTCTAGATTTGGCGCTAGGAGCTTTTTAGAAATCAAAGTGCTAGAGGGGTCTGAAAAGTGGCTAAATATAGCGACTAAAGCGCTAAGTTGGCAACACTGCTCTTTGCATCGTTTGTTTTCAAATGGTTTGCTGCTGTCTGTTTGGACCTTTCTGAACATGTGCAGCAAATGGACTGATCCAATATGGTGGACACTGAAGGGGGGGGCTGAGACACACTTAATGTGAGGAGCAGAAGCTCATCTTACGCATGAAGCAATGTTTGGGGGGTAAATGGGAAGATTTAGATGATTTATTATGCATGGATCAAACTGTTCATGATTTTATTGATGGTCTGAGGCGGTAAAGGGAGGAAACCAGATCAGACTGATTGAAATCATTCAGCTTGGTCTTTATTTCCAGCGTTTCTTTTTCTGCTGTTTAACTGTTTTCCTGCAGCTTATCATCCCGAGGAAACCCTCTGCTCTTTGTTCCCCTTTCAGATCTCTGAGATCTACGTCTGCGGCGAGTCGGCCGACCTCACGGCCAAAGAGAAGCTGCTGCTATGGAGCCAGCAGGCCGTGGAGGGCTACCCCGGCCTCCGCTGCAGCAACTTCAGCTCGGCATGGAGCAATGGACGCATGTTCAACGCTCTGCTGCACAGATACAGGCCAGACCTCATCGACATGGAGGCCGTGGCCCGGCAGAGCAACCGAGAGAACCTGGAGCAGGCCTTCGAGATCGCCGAGTCGTTAGGGGTGACGAGACTCCTGGACGCTGAGGGTGAGTCAGAGGTTCAGCTATGAACCAGAACCTCCATCGATCACATCGCTGTGGTTCTAATGTTTTCCTTACAAGCTGCCAGACCTTTCAAAGTGCTCTAACTTCATTGTTCTGTCTTTAGTTTAGGGGTCTGATTTGGGTCATTTTGATTTTACTGCATAATTCTGAATCATTCAGGCATGAAAAAGGTTCCTACTGTGTGTCTGACCTCAGTGTCTTACACCTTTAAGATCTACCTTCTTGTAGAAGATCTGTAAATCCAGAGAAACAGGCTTCTTTGGTTTAAGTCTAAAAGGAAAATGTTTCACATTTGTTCCTTCAACCTGAAATGATCAAATACTAAATAAGTTCTGATCATCCTACCCCCTAAACAGGCATATATGTAACCCTTAATAGGGTGCTTTTATTTTGAAGGTGACTGCTGTTCCTGTGGGAAACTCTTTCCATTGCTGATGTTTTCTTTTCCATGTTGCCACTGGCATTAATAAGAAGACTTTATTCAGTGTCTGTCAGCAGGAATAGGTCTCTGGTTTCATTAGAGCTCTGGAGACGTTTGGTTCTGAGGTGAACGTGATCCGACTCGGCAATTCGACGCCTTTGCGTTGCATTCTGGGACATGATGGAGTAAATAAGCTAAAAGAAGCCTGGTTTTACTTTATAAACCAAACGTTTCTAATCAACCACTAATAGTCTGGAGCAGGTGCGGAGTTAGGAAATTTGGGGCCCTAGGCAAAGACAGGCAGGCGGCCCTCTGAGTTGAGAAGACAACACAAAAAACAGACCCATTCTCCAGATAGAGAAATGTTAATAGAATAGACATCCATTATCTGTTCTAGGTTTTGTCCCTTTTCTTCTTGTTTTCCTCTCTATGTTTTGTACTCAGCTGACTTTTCATGCTGTCTCTAAAGGAATGAAAGATTTTTTCCAAGCACTAAGCTCACTTAGCCACGGCTGAGACACACTTAATATTATAAGCATTCTGAAGGCATTTTAGCGAAAGGATTTTTAATCAAAAACATAATTAATGTGCACAAATAAGGAATAGTTGTATTAGCTAAAATGTTTTATGGGGCCCCCAGGAACTTGTGGCCTTAGGCACCTGGCTTGTATTGCATAATGGTAAATCCCCCCCTGGGCTGGATATATTCACTGTGTTTTCAGGCAGCAGATTGGTTCTGATCTGATTGGAGTTTTCCTCAGAAAAAAACAAAAAAGAACAAAATTCCCTGATTCAGACTGAAGCAAACGATCTGAATGAAAATTATTAAGCTAAAAACTCAGTGGAAGAAAAAAACCTGCATGTTCAGGGGTTGACGACCACTTGCCATTTGGGCAAGTGACTTTCACATTTCATTTGCCCAGAAACAATTTTTACTTGCCCAGTATGATTGATAAATATAGTTCCTTATATTCATTTTTGTATATATATCAATGAAACATGTGTGCTTTTTAAATGTTTTTTGTATTTCAGTACTTTTTAAGTTTACAGGTTCCTGGTGTGTATATGCAAAAAACTTGACAGGTTAAAAACTTAAGATAAATCACAAGACAGAAGTCAATGTCACAAATGAATAAATTTTATTTTAGATTAACGGTATGTTTATACAAGATAATGCTATTAATATAATGTGACTTTTCTAGAGAATCATTATACATAGTTATTTTATTCAGGGTTTCCACAGTCTGACATCATTTCAGAATTCCCTGACTTTTAACTGACTCAGGATTAGTTTTCCCTGACAAAATAAATGCAGCAACAAGACAATAATAATAACAGGTCACCAATTTAACATGTTTAGCTCTAGAACATTTAAACGCACCTCTCCAATGTCTAAGAGAAAAAAAAATTAATGAAAATTTTTTAATGTATGACCTGCATCACTGTACCGAAGACTGCCATATTTACACTGTGCGCATGGCGTACAATTATGCCAATTTTCCTAATCCTTGAACGATGATTTTTAATCTAGGGTTATCTGGGGGGTTGGTGAAATGGGTGGAGGGTAAAATAGGTGGTCGGTCTGTTACTGTACTTACATTATTTTGCCTTGTGGTTGTTTTTTAACCTGCCATGTTCAAAACAATGTGTCTGATTCACGCTAATTCCCGGACAAAAATCACGCCATCTGGCCATAAAATCACGCGGCTTTTTCAAATCACGCGTGAATGTGTACAAAACAACAAAAATGGCGCCGGCAACGCTTCTGAGTCGTTTTTTTTTAAGCAAATGTCAGTGATTTAAAAGTAATTTTGAGTAATAAATAAATTTTTAATAAATTTTTTTGCCATCATTGCACTTGCCCGGTAGCCTCGTGAGACCATCCTGATCTCGCGAGCTTTCAAGGTTTCACTGGCAGCTCAGTCTGGAGACTCTCCGTTAAAGAAAATTTGGAGCCGTTCACCAAACGAACGTCCAATCAGCGTTGGCTTTGAGGCGGGTTGAGGTGTGACGCAACGAGAAGCGCGACAGTTCAGTCTAAAGAACATGGCGGCTTCAGCCGATGAAACTAGCGTTAGCGTGGCTATCGAGCAAGTTTTATCGGAATTACAGAGTATTTCTTCACTGAAAGAAGAGCAAAACACTGCTCTGGAGGCTTTTCTCAGAGGAAAATATGTTTTTGCTCTTCTCCCGACTGGTTTCAGCAAGAGTTTGATCTATCAATTGGCTCCTCTTCGTCGTCCCTCTGTTAGTACGTCATATGCTTCGTTGGTCTGATTGGTTTATTTGGCCCGTCTATCACCAACAATAGGCCAATCAGCTAACCAGTATTTTCGCCCCTTCCCAAAATCACTTCAACGGAAGGTTTCCAGATGGATATGCGGAGCAAATCCATCTAGCGGAGTCAGGTTACTTGCCCAGCGGGCAAAGTACTCTCCCGACAATAAAACTACTTGCCCCGGGCGATCGGGCGATGGTCAACATCGAGCCCTGATGTTGTTCATTCTTTTAAAAGAAAAAAAAAATCACTTCAAGATAAAAGGTTTCAATGGATTCTTCACTTCACAGCAAAAATATTTAACATTTACGTACAGATTATTGGGCACGAAGGAACGTTTAGGGTTATTAATTCCTCCCCATCTTTAAACTATGCAACTATGGAATATTAAAAATGTTTAATCGTCCACACTTTCTAGCTGTTTCCAGGTTTTATCTACCATCTAGCTGATTGGAGGAGCTTATATTAGGTCCTTGTTTTTATATTCCTCCTGTCTGATCTCTCCTCAGACGTCGATGTTCCCTCTCCAGACGAGAAGTCAGTTATCACGTACGTCTCTTCCATTTACGATGCCTTTCCTAAAATCCCAGAGGGAGGAGAGGGCATCTCTGCACAGGTACGACCCGTTTGCTTCTTATTTAACCTATTTCCTTCCTTCCTTCGCCTCTGAACGGTTTCCTCCGGTCTTCCTGCTCTTTAGGAAGTGGACCAGCGCTGGTCGGAGTACCAGTCCGGCTTCTCGTCTTTGCTCCAGTGGAGCCGCCAGCATACAGCCCTCATGGCCAAGAGGAACTTCCCCCAGAACCCTGTTGAACTCAAGGTGAAGGATCCGACCCGTCTGTTTCTGCTTGTCCTCCTTTCTCAAAGTTTGAAGCGTTTGATGCAGAATTCTCCTTTTTTTAATTAAACATTCAAAGTATGCTGATGAAGGTTCTCAGTCATCCAGGTCATAGTCATTCCGTAAAAATTCAAAAAATATCCACTGGACTTGGTTTTCAAGATTTGAAGACGTTTCGCCACCTCTCCAGGAAGCTTTCTCAATTCAAATGTCTGGATCCGCAGTGAGTTTGAGTCTTATATAGACAATGCCTTGTATCGCTTGGAAACATGCAATAGAAACCGATGAATGGGTTGTTAGTTCCATCGTTAGCCTGTAATATCTGAAACGGTCTATGATTCTAGGGGTTGGTCGATAAAGGGGGGATTGTCATTAAGGGGGGGATTGTCTCCTGTAATACCTGAAACCTGTCTATGATTGTTAAGGGTTGGTCGTTAAGGAGGTATTGTTCACCGGCTGGAGCGGGTAAGTCCCTCGTTCCTCTGTGATGGGGTGGGGGGTTTGGTGATATCTGGAAGGGATCATGTCTATGATTGAATTGTATGTTTTTGGAAGCTGGAATCAGTCCACCACCTCTGTTTAAAGTTGGTTTTTCTCTCTTAACATAGATGGCTTCCTTCACGCCCCTCTCAAACCACCTATTTTCTTTATCCAGAATATGGACATTCTGGTCCTCAAAAGAATGTCCTTTGTCCACAAGGTGTAGGTGTACTGCGGAGTCTTGTCCAGAGGTGGCCGCTCTTCTGTGTTGGGCCATGCGTCTGTGGAGAGGTTGTTTGGTTTCTCCAATATAAAGATCAGAGCATTCCTCACTGCACTGAACAGCATATACCACTCCGCTCATATTTGGTCTGGGGGTTTTATCTAGTGCATCCGAAAGATAAAACCCCGAAAGATAAAAGCAGTACACCTACACCGTGTGGACAAAGGACATTCTTTTGAGGACCAGAATGTCCATATTCTGGATAAAGAAAATAGGTGGTTTGAGAGGGGCGTGAAGGAAGCCATCTATGTTAAGAGAGAAAAACCAACTTTAAACAGAGGTGGTGGACTGAGATTCCAGCTTCCAAAAACATACAATTCAATCATAGACATGATCCCTTCCAGATATCACCAAACCCCCCACCCCATCACAGAGGAACGAGGGACTTACCCGCTCCAGCCGGTGAACAATACCTCCTTAACGACCAACCCTTAACAATCATAGACAGGTTTCAGGTATTACAGGAGACAATCCCCCCCTTAATGACAATCCCCCCTTTATCGACCAACCCCTAGAATCATAGACCGTTTCAGATATTACAGGCTAACGATGGAACTAACAACCCATTCATCGGTTTCTATTGCATGTTTCCAAGCGATACAAGGCATTGTCTATATAAGACTCAAACTCACTGCGGATCCAGACATTTGAATTGAGAAAGCTTCCTGGAGAGGTGGCGAAACGTCTTCAAATCTTGAAAACCAAGTCCAGTGGATATTTTTTGAATTTTTACGGAACATTCAAAGTATTTCAAGTTATTAATTTTAAAAGCTTTCAGGATCAAAGGTTGCACAAATCAATTTCATACCTCAGTGATTCTCGTTTACTAGACACCCTCAGGACAAACATATTTTCAAATCAGTGCAAGAAATGAGAAAGTAGAACGTTCCAGTCTGTTTGTGTGGCTGAAAAGTGACCGCGTCTGAGTCCTGCCTCTGTTTCCTCCTGCAGGCACTTTATAATGAGTACATCCACTTCAAGGAGGCGGAGCTCCCCCCCAAGGAGACGGAGAAGTCCCACATCCAGCACCTCTTCAAGCTGCTGGAGGTGAGCGCCGTCAAACGCACGCCTGGTGGCGGGCATCATGTGCATCACGGGGCTGAGCCCAGGCAGAGCCGGTTCTGTCTGTGGCGCCTCCTGGAGCACAAACACATGACGGCTGATGAAAGCTCCTCCTGTGTTCCCGCTCAGCTGACGCCACCGCTGAGCCCGGCTTATGACCTCCTTCTGTCCCCGTTTCCAGGTTTGGATCGAGTTCGGTCGCATTAAGCTTCCTCAGGGCCTCCATCCCAACGAGCTGGAGGAGGAGTGGGGCAGACTCATCCTGGAGATGCTGGAGAGGGAGAAGGCCCTCAGGCCGGCCGTGGAGAGGTGCAGAAACAGGAGCTGACGCTTGGCCATGGCGGTTTGGGTTCAGAGACTCTTCCTCTGAACATGTGTGTGTTTTCAGGGTGGAGCTGCTACTTCAGCGAGCCAACAAGATCCAGAACACAGCGGTGGACTGCGAGGAGAAGCTCACCCTGGCTAAGAACACCCTGCAGGCTGTGAGTTTAGCGTCCTCAGTTTGATGTCCTGTAAACACTGCAGCTCTGGTTTATGATGCGGACAGAGTTTAATGGAGAAGACCCTTCAGATACATCAAATATTTACTCACCACTTCCTCTGCTTTCTGCAAATATCCCCCTTCACCCCCGAGACGGAAACTCTCCTCATAATTATTATTGATCTTAGCTGAGCCTCTCATTCATTAAACACCGAGGGAGAGAACAAATGGAACCCACAGGAAAATATACATTTATTTATTTTAAAGAGGAGAAAAGAAAATGAGGAATGTAAAAAAGAAAATCAGAATATGAATATAGTGATATATATATATATATATATATAAAAGCCTGCATCTATAATCTCTGATAAAGCTGAATTAGAAACAATCTACTTCTCTTTAAAGTTCATTTAATTCGTTGTTTAATAATAAATAGATCAGTTAATCTCATACCAATTCTGACTTTAATCTCAGAATTATGACAGATTAAAGTCAGAATTCTGAGATTAAAGTTAGAATTCTGACTTTAATCTCAGAATTCTGAGTTTAAAGCTGAATTAGAAACAATCTGCTTCTCTTTAAAGTTCATTTAATTCGTTGTTTGATAATAAATAGATCAGTTAATCTCATACCAATTCTGACTTTAATCTCAGAATTATGACAGATTAAAGTCAGAATTCTGAGATTAAAGTTAGAATTCTGACTTTAATCTCAGAATTCTGAGATTAAAGTCAGAATTCTGAGATTAAAGTTAGAATTCTGACTTTAATCTCAGAATTCTGAGATCAAAGTCAGAATTCTGAGATTAAAGTCAGAATTCTGAGATTAAAGTTAGAATTCTGACTTTAATCTCAGAATTCTGAGTTTAAAGCTGAATTAGAAACAATCTGCTTCTCTTTAAAGTTCATTTAATTCGTTGTTTGATAATAAATAGATCAGTTAATCTCATACCAATTGTTGTTCATCAATCATTTTCTATCAGTCCACTCTACTAAGTGTATATGGTTCAGTTCAAAGCTGTAGTATCAGCATTATATAAGGAATGAAAAGTTGTATTGGAACCCCCTTAAAACGAATCAATTCATAGATCAGAAGATCTAGATACATAAAATAAAGAAGCAATAAAAAGGAGCTATGTTTTTTTTTTTTGTTCTAAAAGCTTCTTTCTGTTTTTTTTTCTTTCTTTTATTTCGTTGTTTTTTCAGTTTCTGCTTAATTTTTTTCCTGATAAGTAAAAATAAGGGCGTATAAATTAAACCACAGAATAAAGTCTAAACTCATGGATTAACTCTAAGGATGCTCTAAGTATGAAAAAGAGGAGCAATTTAGATGAACCGATATTATATACAGTATGTCGAGGTGACACCGCTGCTGATATCTGGTGTGGGAAAAAAGTATTCAACTATTCATCCTAGTTAAATAAACGGAGATCGATGGATTTCACTCAGTCGGCACATTTATTCACATCTTTGCAAAGAGAGAACAGTTCACCATACATTATGGCATGGTAATCAGCCCTGTTCTGATCTGGGCAGCGTTCGTTCCGCCCTTACTTACAACAATGGAAAGTAGTCACATTAAACACACTTTGGTTAAACAGTAAAATGTTATGAATAAACCTTGAGAAATAATCTGATTTGTTATGGGAAGTAGCAATGTCTGGTCTACAAACACCATCCTGCAGAGAAATGTGTGGCTTTTAAAAGAGAAACAGACTGAGTGAAAACTTTTATAGTGAGTAAATAGGATAAATTAATATATAATAGAAGAGAGAGAAAAATTTTCAGACAACACATCTTTTCTCTAAAAATAAACATTGGCCAGTAATATCAGACGGAAGAGGATTAGGGCCACTGAAAAATAAAAAGTTAACTGATTTTTAAATTTTATTTCAGTTTAACATGGGAAAAAAGTCAGAATTCTGACGTTTTTCTCAGAATTCTGACTTTAATCTCAGAATTCTAACTTTAATCTCAGAATTATGACAGATTAAAGTCAGAATTCTGAGGAAAAAGGTCAGAATTCTGACTTTAATCTCAGAATTCTAACTTTAATCTCAGAATTATGACAGATTAAAGTCAGAATTCTGACCTTTTTCCTCAGAATTCTGACTTTAATCTGTCATAATTCTGAGATTAAAGTTAGAATTCTGAGATTAAAGTCAGAATACGGAGATTAAAGTAAGAATTCAGAGACTAAAGTCAGAACACTGAGATTAAAGTCAGAACACTGAGATTAAAGTCAGAATTCTGACTTTAATCTGTCGTAATTCTGAGATTAAAGTTGGAATTCTGAGATTAAAGACAAAATTCTGAGATTAAAGTCAGAATTCTGGCCTTTTTCCTCAGAATTCTGACTTTTTTCCTCAGAATTCTGACTTTAATCTGTCATAATTCTGAGATTAAAGTCAGAATTCTGAGATTAAAGTCAGAATTCTGAGATTAAAGTTAGAATTCTGAGATTAAGGCAGAATACTGAGATTAAAGTTAGAATTCTGAGATTAAAGACAAAATTCTGAGATTAAAGTCAGAATTCTGACTTTTTTTCCCATGTTAAACTGAAATAAAATTTAAAAATCAGTTAACTTTTTTTTTTTTCCCAGTGGCCCTAATCCTCTTCCATAGTTACCAATATGTAAAAAAAACACATTTAAAACATCAGCCAATAACGATGCTATTCCCAATATATTGTTTATGTTTTTCTGTTTCATGCATTATTGTTGAAAAAGCTATTTGTTTTTCTTGATTAGCTCCAGGATGTCTTTATTTAATTTCATTTTTAGGACCTCTGTTAGTTAATTTATAAAAAAGGTGAAGGATGAGTTTCAAACAGGGTTTATACAGAAATTATAATCTCCAATTTAATTATTTTTAATGCTCTTAGAAATAATTCTAAGGCCATCAAGAAGTACCCATGACTCTCATTTTAGCATTTTTAGCTTGTTTTAGCATTTTAAATGCCGCCATAATCAGATTTAATGAATTTTAATGCCAATTAAGGCATTTATTTAAAAAATAATAATTTCATTTAAACCCTGTTTAAAGCATCAATTCTCCAACTAAGTCAAAATCAGATTTAATGGCAGAACGTTTGATAGAATCACTGGATTTTTATCTAGTTTTTGCTAAAAAATAAATATTTAGATCAGATCAGAGAGGCCTGATCTGATCAGTTATGCACAGAACTAAAAACAGACGGGACCATGTGACCTCATGGTCAGGAGCAGGAGCAGTTTTCAGCGTTTTGTTTCTGTTGGGATTCCCCTCACGGTTTCCGTGTCCTCCGGTTTCCAGGACATGTCTCGGGCCGACAGCGGCGAGGCGGTGCAGTGTGAGACAGAAATGGTTCGCTACCTGCAGGACTGCGAGGCTCTGATCCGGCAAATCGAGCAGGATCTGAAAATCCTGCGAGAAGAGAAATATTACCAGGTGGAGCAGCTGGCGTTCAGGTGAGGAGCCCCTCCCTCCAGTGGAACCGGCCCGGTTGGTGCCGTGATCAGAGTTTAAGGAACTTTCTGATTATCTTTGTTCTCATTTAGATCAGTTTTTGACTGAGAGGATGAAACAACCTGAAACTTTTTAAAACTTTTTGTAGATTTTAGTTCTTCTTTCTCTCAGAGTCCTGTTTTATCTGTCCTGTTTAATTTGAAGGTGTTGACTCATCCTACAGTAAACTATTCCTACCTCCTATAAACACAGTTTTATTTTTTCATGACTTTCCTTAGTAGCAGGAAATCAGCAGCATGAGGGGCGGGGCTACAGCTGCCTGAACCATCAGAGCTTCTGTTTCTACTCTAAACATAAAAAATATGGCAATAATTAAAAGTCTGCCCTTCACCCTGCAGGAGGCTCTTAATATAACCTGTTTGTGGCTAAAACGTTGTTTCCTTGGAAATAATGGTCTGAATGATTTCCGTGTATCATGCGCAGAGCTTCCTGCCTTCAGGAGGAGCTGGTCTCCCTCCGGCTGCAGTGCTCCAGCGTCTACAGGAAGGGCCACTTCTCTCAGGCCCTGGGCCCCGCCGGCACGGAGCCACCCTGGCAGAGAGCCACAGACGGAGGCCTCTCTCTGGGACAGACCCTGCTGGGAGGCGTGGGGGCGGTCGGAGCCGCTCTCCTGCGGCGGCCGATGGCGCGCTCCCAGCTGGTGGCCATGTCCTCCTCAGAGGATGAAGGAAGCCTGAGATTCATCTATGAGCTGCTGGGATGGGTGGAGGAGATGCAGGTGAGCCTCTGGCACGCTAAAGCTCAACTAAGAAAGGTTTTTTAGTTGATAATAACCATACTTGTACGCTTATTACAACTATTACTTATTTGTGCACATTAAGTATCTGTTTGATAAAAATCCTTTCATTGAAATGGCATCAGAATGCTTATAATATCAGTGTCTCTCTGCCCCCCCCTTCAGTGTCCACCATATTGGATCAGTCCATCTGCTGCACATGTTCAGAAAGGTCCAAACAGACAGCAGCAAACCATTTGAAAACAAACCATGCAAAGAGCAGTGTTGCCAACTTACCGCTTTAGTCGCTATATTTAGCCACTTTTCAGACCCCTCTAGCACTTTGATTTCTAAAAAGCTCCTAGCGCCAAATCTAGCCACTTTTTCTGCTACTGGACACTTTGGAGACAACATCTAAAAGCAGCGAACTCTGCTCTCCAGAGCGAGTAGATTGGTAACCCCGCCTCCTGCTCTCCTCTATCTTGTCTGCTGTCATGATTCATGCAGCTATTATTTCATCCAAATGAAAAATGGAGAACAGATAAGCAGATCATGGCTTGTCTACAGTGAAAAGAAGGACTGGGTTATTTACTTTTGCCGTCGCCTTTTTGGAAACAAGCAGAAGCAATCAGCTAAGTTAGAATGGACTTAGTGATTCCCTTTTAGACAGCATTAAAGGTATACTATGCAACCGTTGTTGATTTTCCAGCGAGGCTCCCCCCAGAGGGCGAAAGCAAAAGTGCACTGTAAATATGTTCAGCTGTTCTCCTGGTTTCTCCGTCAAGCCAGGCGCGGTTGTTTTGAGCTTAGCAGACAGGCGAACGCAACCAATCACTATGTCTACTGCGGTAGAGAGCCCTTTTCCTTTTTCTTGCCTGCTCCGACATGGGCTTTCGCTGTTTTCTCGCTGGTTCCACGATGATAACTGCACAAATATTGCCACTGCGCTAGCAACGAGCATGCCTTTCACTGGGGGCGTGTAGCAGTTCTCGCCGTAAAGCAAGACCGACTATCGCGATGCACAAGACTTCTGAGCCTGTGGGTGCGGGCCGAGGGCTCCTGCAATTGCAAGTACGGTATTTCCCCTACAGACCACCAGGGCGGCCGAGAAAACCTTTGTTCAACCTGAAATGACTCATTTAATCATCCAAAACGTTATGGAACACATTAATTAACTGAAAAATGTTGCATAGTATGCCTTTAAAAGTCAGCTGAGCACATTGCCAATATGAAAAGAAAAAGGGACAAAAAAAATGAGGAAAACAACAAGAAGAGAGGGACAAAAGGTAGAACAAATAATGGATGTCTGTTCTATAAAAAATGTCTGTATCTGTATAATGGGTCTGTTTATTGTGTCGTCTTCTCACTTCAGAGGGCCTCCTGTCTCTCTTTGTCTCGGGGCCCCATATTTCCTAAATCCGCCTTTGTTCATGCGTCTGTGAAAGCCGGTCATAATACTTGCTCCACATTATCCTCACTTCCAGCATAATAAATCAGTCGATCTACATTTTGATGCGTTTCAGGAGCTGTTGGAGGGAGCGGAATGGGGTGCAGACCTCCCCTCTGTAGAGAACAACCTCCAGGAGCACAACACCATCCACACGGCTGTGGAGGAACTGCTGAGCAGCCTGCAGGAGGCGCGCAGCTACCAGGTGCAGAAACGTCGCCTAACAAGTTCAGTTTGACGTTAAAGTTCAGGTTTAAAATCAAGATTTCTTTCTTCTCTTGTCAGGCTAAAGTGTCCCCGAACTTTAAAGGCAGTTACTCTGAAACCCTGGCCAAACTGGAGCACCAGTACTGCAAGCTACTGGTGAGTTAATCCCATTACAGCATGCCAGCATATTTCTCCATATGCTCCCTTTCTGCTCCCAGTTTCTCCTCATCCCAGCTCTTACTTATCTGTCCAGTTTCTCTGCAGCTCAGTGGTCAGTTTGGCCATGCTAACTATTAGCCGCTTGGAAGTTTGTTCCGTTTCATCTAGATTAGGAAATATATGCAGAGATATATCAAAAAAAGTCCTAAAATCTAAACTTTTATAGATATATCTGATTAAATGTTCCGTAAAGGTTCCTTTAAATGCAGCCCAAGTGACCGCACAATGAGAGGAAGTGTTATTGTGCCGCCGATCAGCATGTTGATTGCGTGTTTGTGTGGTTTCCATAGGAACATTCGTCATGCCGCCTGCAGAGCTTGGAGAGCCTCCACGCGTTCGTGTCGCGCTGCACCGAGGAGCTGATCTGGCTCAACGAGAGGGAGGAGGAGGAGATCTCCTTCGACTGGAGCGAAGGCAACGCCAACATGGCCGCCAAGAGGGAAGCGTACAACGTGAGTGAAGGAGATGAGAGGGCCAGGAAAGACCCCCCCGGTGCTTCCTGTTTAACTTTCTGGTTCTGCTTCCAGGAGATGAGGATGGAACTGGCAGAGAAACAGGATGTGATGCGTTCCATCCAGGAAACGGCCAGCCGCCTCTGTCAGGAAAACCATCCAGCCAAACAGACCGTGGAGGTAAGCCGTTCCCTTTGGTCTGACTGAGGAGGAAGCCCCGCCCACTCACAGTCAGCAGCCACAACCTGCTTCATAACATCATCACATTTTTCTTGTCCCAGTTTTCCTCCATTTTCTAGTTTAGTTGTCTGTTTGCTTTTAAATAATGATTATAATTTCCGATCAAAAGCTTTAATAACAGCCAGAATCCAATATTTTATCCTCTTAAATGTAAAATATTCTCAATTGAACCTCCTATATGTATATATGTGGGTGTAAACTGTCGACCAGCCGCTTTATTGTTTTATTTCTTTATCCATTGAAGTCGGATCCGTCGTCTGTATGTTAGATTTCAATAAAAGGAAACTTTTATCTAAATTATAAGGAGAAAATCAAACAGTCTAACTTTGTTATTAAAGCATGTTTTTTCTCTTTCTTTACAAAAATTTGTTCAGAAGTTTTATTATTATTCTGTTTTAAATACATCTGGATAGAAAATATATAAAGTAAATATATTCCAGTTTTTATTGCAGTGCCCTGCTTTTTTTTCTTAGTCAGTGAACTTTTTAACAAAGGAATAAATAAAAAGAAACTTTTGCATTTATATTAAAACATAAAAAGATTATCCAGAATCTCTACCTCCAAATATTCATGAATTTGTCCTTATTATTTATTTAAGGCTCCTCTGCTTTGCCTTGCAAACATGTTTGATCTGAAAATCATAGGAAACAAATCATAAAGTTTTTCATTGTTTTTATAAACCAGTTATTTATATGAATATGTTTGATTAATAATTAAATAGCTATAAACTGTCAGAAAGCCTGAAGTCGATCAGATTTAGATGCCTGCGTTATTTCATCCCTACATGATCTCCTCTGATTGGATGGGTTGTTTGCAGCTCTACCTGTTGCTGATCTATGTGTGTTTCCAGGCCTACAGTGCAGCCCTGCAGACTCAGTGGCAGTGGGTGGAACAGCTGTGCGTTTGTGTGGAGCAGCATCTCAAAGACAACACCGCCTACTTCCAGGTGAGGTTAAGTTTCTGCTCAGATTTAAACTCAATTAAAAACCTGCTTTTACCTCCAGGTTTGATTTCTACCTTTATGTTGAGAAATGTTTCTGCTTCCTCTTGCAGTTCGTGAGCGACGCGAGGGACTGTGAGTCGTACCTCCGCCAGCTTCAGGACACCATCAAGAGACGATACACCTGCGACAAGAACAGCAGACTGAGCAAACTGGAGGACCTGCTGCAGGACTCCATGGTAACTCACCCTCGCTCAGAAAACAGCACTTTGATCCAGTTATTTTCCTAAATATAGCCACGCCCACTTTTCCACGCTTGCCACCCAGACATCCCTCTGATTCCCAAGTTGTTCTCAGGTCAGAATGGTTCCTCCCAGCGGGTTGTCTTCGCAGGTCGGTGGGTGACGCAGACAAACTGTAAAATCAGGAGCTTTGCTTCATAGCTGAGCTCCATTCACCTCTGCAGACTAATGTGCTGTGTATTCTCCTGCAGAAGTGTTTCTCAGTTAGCTTGTCGTAGGTATGACGCAGATATTTTGATTTATGCCCAATTTTGAAGTGTGGTCCGTGACCTGAGTTAATTTGGCCCCCCCCACCTTCTTCAAATCAGACAAAATTAGTGTCAAACGTTTGTGCAGCAAAACTTTTTGTTTGTGCCGCTATCATTTTAAAGATATAAAGAAATATTTCTAGAGGTCATCAAAGGTCAACCAGACCCCCCCCCTTCTTTAAATTAGACGAAATGTGTGTCAATTAACTTTTCATTTGTGCTTCTTTGGCTTTGAAGATATTAATGAAAATGTAAAGGTCAAAAGGTCAACCAGCCCCCCCACCTTCTTCAAATTAGACAAAATTGGCGTCAAACGTTTGTACAGCAAAAATTTTCGTTTGTGCCACTTCCATTTTTTTACAGTTTAAAATTATATAATCATAGGTTAGCAACTTATAATTTATATGAAATTCAGAGTTTCAGAATGAAAAAATGTTCACTAAACTTTGATGGCTTCTACAAGCAGTTATTAATATCATTAAAATGATAGCAGTACAAAAAATGTATATATTTTAAAATATGCATATTTAAATTTTTAACATTTATTTTAAATATTTTATATTTAAGATTAATTTAAAAATGTTATATTTTTGTATGGCAAAAATTTTCATTTGTACTGCTATCATTTCAATGATATTAATAATATTTTGTAGAGGTCATCAAAGGTCAGTTAACATCTTTTTTTGCTGCACAAACGTTTGACACCATTTTTGTCTAATTTGAAGAAGGTGGGGGGGCTGGTTGACCTTTGATGACCTCTAGAAACATCTCTTTATATCTTTAAAATGATAGCGGCACAAATGAAAATTTTTGCTGCACAAACGTTTTACACTAATTTTGTCTGATTTGAAGAAGGTGGGGGGGCCAACTTCACTCAGGTTGATCCGCGCTACGTTATTCCACACCAGAACGCAAGAGGATCAATCAGGAACTAGCTGGGGTTGTGGGGGTCTGTGTGTCGTTTTGACGAGCTTGTTCGTCCTCTAAAAACACGCATCCAACGCCAGACGACAAAGGTTACCCGTGATTGAAGACGCTGCGTGTTTTGGCTTCGGGTGCAAACCAAAAGACCGTCGCACAGAGCTACAAGCTAGCATCCTGTACGGTGTCTGGGATAGTGTCTGAGGTGTGCCAGGCGTTGTGGACGGCACTACAGCCAGAGTTTCTGCCTTTAGATATCAGGAAATACGCAAAGTGTAGAGCGGATGTAGAATTGATCAATCCGTGCGGCGCTATCTGCGGCACCGTCTGCGGTCACCGACAATTCTATCTGCGCTAACTGTGAAACACACGCAGACGACCTGGTTTCTGAGCATAAACAAGACTTAAACCCTGATCCGTCTGTTCTTCTTTCGTTCCATCCTACCATCACTGTTCAGCAGGGCGCCGAAGGCAGAGACCGACCCCCCCGGCCCAGATGGCCGACTCCCAAACACTCGGATGCAAACAGCAAAGACCGACCCCCTCAACGACTGATCAGCCAGAGTAGTGATTAAAATGAGCTCTAGCAAAGGGACTAAAGGCTGGCTGGAAGTTAAGGTCTAAATATAGCCTAAAATACTCAGATAAAGCCAAGAAACATTTACTAAAATGATTTACCTGAAATGTTTCCAATGAGAAAGAGCAGCATTGTGTCACATTTCTCTGGGAGGTAATTTAATACAGCCTGACTCGCCTGGTTCACCGGGCAGCCTGCAGCCCCTCTGGCACGATGACACGCTTGTGTTCTTCACACCTTTTTCACAAGCAAACACCTCAGAGGGCGGATCCACGGTCCCTGTTCAGAGGAAGACAGGAATGCCTGACCGCTCAACAGATGCTCCTTTCAGTCGCCTAAAGTAAAGATGCTCAGCATCTCGCCTTTAATCTGTCTGATCCTCGTTCAGCAGCTTGGGGACGAACCTTTAGCAGTAGCCTTGGACTAATCTGTGACTTGTGATTCTGGAGAACCGGTTTCTGATGGTTCCACCTCAGGTTTTAACTTTGACTAGGCCAGAGCAGCCTCTAGGTTCGCTTCTGGATCTGCTGCTGTTAGGATTATTGTTCTGTTGGTGACCCAGTTCAGTCCAAGCTTTAGCTTTAGATGCCCAACTCCTGTAGAAGGAAATCCCAGACCATCATCCCTGCACCATGTTGGCTGTTTGGCTCTGTAGCCAGTTAAAAATAAGGGTAGATATTGCAGGGTTGCATAAAGAAGAGGCGTGTTACCTGCTTGCGTAAGAGTGAAATGTGCGCAGCTTGAAGCGGTTTTCCAACAACGCTCCGATATTTTTGAAGTTTGGACACCTTATTTTGTTTTATTACAATATCTAAGGCTGAAAATGTACAAAATCCAGCTCAGAAAAGGCACTGGGGCTTATTTGTGGCTTGAAAAACAGCAGTTTCACTATCTTTTTATAGATTTTTAATGTTATTTTAGGTTCATAAATGTTACATTTTGTGGCCATCAAAGTTTTGTGGCCATTAAAGTCATTTTTTCTTAAAATAAGTGTATTTCTTCTTAAATTGAGGACATTAAAGAGATATTTTGCCAATGGAACAAGAAAATTTAGATTTAAAATAAGAAAACACATTTGCATTGTGTTATTCCAAGTGCATATTATCTAATTATTTTATTTTAAGGGTAAAAATACTAATTCCATTGGCAAATTATCAAATTTACCTGTTTAAATCAAGGGTAAATACACTTAATTTAAGACTTTTTTACTTATTTCTAGATCATTTTTGCAGTGTTCAGTGTTATTCTATAGGTCAAATAGTTGCACTGGAAGAAATTGAAATCTAAATAAGTCATTTTTTTCTTAAAATAAGTTAAATTTTTCTTGAATTAAGGAGGTAAGTGAGAAACTTTGCCAATGGAATAAGACAATTAGCATTTAAAATAAGAAAAAAACAATTTATTGTCTTATTTCTGGTGTATCTTATCTAATTATATTATTTTAGGAGTAAAAATACTCATTCCACTGGCAAATCATCTTATTTAGCTACTCAAATTAAGGCTAAATACATTTAATTTATGAATAGTCAACTTATTTCTAGATCGTTTTTGCAGTGTGAGTAAAGGCATTTGGCACATCTGGCTCATTTGGAGAGATTTGGAGACGCTGGTGACACTAAAAGTTCAAAGCCCAACAGCTCTGGAAATGTTGTACCTAGAAGTCTGACGTTTTCTGCATTTGTTGTTGACATGATGTAGAACAGATGTAATACAATGAGACCTGCCTATTCTCAAGCATGTCTTTATTACTGCAGCTCAAAAAACACCTATTATTTTCGAAAAGAAAAAAACAACAACTTTGAGTCATGTTTGAACTAATGCATCTTAGGCTGTGTTTTTTGTCACATTATTTTCATTTATATTTTCAGAAACTAGAAGGTGTTAGCTTGTAAATGATATATTACATGTGTAATTTGGGCTTACAGTTCCTCAGTTATTTTCTTTTCTATTTGGGTATCAGGTGCAAAATAAGCAAGGATTACTTTAAATTAGGTGGGTGTTAAAAAACAACCCCTCGTCATTCAGGCTTTTGCTGATTTCTTGTTTTGACCTTTAACCTGTCAGTCTGAGGAGGAGGTTGTCCATTCTTGGTAAACGTTTCCCTCTCTGTAGAATCAGGGTTCCCGCAGGTCCTTAAAAAGTCTTAATAGACATTGAATTTTTCAAAATAAAACTAAGGCATTAATTGGTATTAAAATGTCTTAAATCAGTCTTTCGTAGGTCTTAATTTTTAAAACATCATAAATAGGATTATTTTTATTACAATTTATTTTTGTAATCTATTCAATTCAGTTTATTTATATAGCGCCAAATTCCCAACATATGTCATCTCAAAGCACTTTACAGTTCAACCAGATCATCCAGTCAAATTGATACAAAGTTTTCTTTCTAAGGAAAACCAGTTGATTGCATCGACTCATTGACTCAAATACAATCCCTCACACTAAGCATGCTTGTAGCGACAGTGGAGAGGAAAAACTCCCTTTTAACAGGAAGAAACCTCCAGCAGAACCAGGCTCAGTGTGAGCGGCCATCTGCTGAGGCCGACTGGGGTTCAAGGAGACAGAAGCAGAGATACAAAAACAGCTGTAAAAGGCGGCCCCGTCCAGGAAACACACAGCCAGGCAGACGAGCTCCGAGCCAGCTCCTAAATAAAACATTAAAATTAACCTTTTTCTTTTTATTTAAAAAAAAATAACGGCTTGCCATTATTGGTTCCGTCCCGATAGCGGAACCAATAAAAGCGTTGTTGCAGCCGGGACATTTGGGAGATGCATCATTAGAGTTTTCTCCATTGCTAAAACCAGGGAACATACATGAGGCTCAGTGGATTTTATGCAAGAAGTCATTCAAGCTCGGAACGATGGGAATTAAGGCAGTGGAGTCGCACATGCGAAACGCGAAACACAAAGCGTCAAAATGGAGTTACAGAGAAACAGCCGGTATTTCTCAGTTTAGTTCCACCCTTGTCTCTGCAACGCCTCCACTTATCACCAAATCAAACATACTAAGAAAACCATACAAAGAAAACTAGCTGCAAAAAAGACTTAGCACTGGTTATGTTGGGGCTTTAAAACTGATTTTTGTTCCCTGCTAAAACAAAGTTTGTGAATTCATTTAAATAATTATTAAAATATATCTGTCATTTGTGTGTTTTTAGCTTTCTTCCTGTATGGGAAGCTTTTCAACATGTGAAACATTAGTGCAGTGGTTTATGTTAAACTAAACCTTTGGGTTAAGTTGTCGCAAGCAGGTTTTTCTTGTGTTTCTTGTGAATTTGGTCTTAAATTTTTATTTCAAGTGGCATTAAAAAGTCTTAAAAAGTCTTGAATTTAACTTGCCTTATGCTGTAGGAACCCTGAGAATAATAATCCTAAAAGTCGTTCTAACCATTCCCAGACTGCAGCAGTCGTCCTGCCCTGGCGTTTTTTTGACACACACCTGAGCAGCTGCTGATCCTCTGCTGAATGAAGCTGATCCTGTTTAAATTCCTGTGGTTTTTACTGATCGATTGAAAGCTTGTTGCTTCGGTAAAAAACATTCTGCAGGCGCCGATTTGATAAATCTGTCACTTCGCTTGTGTTTGTGTCTAGAAGTTAATTGCCATTCCCTGTTAATGGAGTTAGCGTTTCGCTGCGCTCCATTTCTCACAGCCTTGTACCTCCTCGCCTCAAAATGTCACACTTCAATCTATCCATTCCTCCGGCCCAGGAAGAGAGGAAATTAGATTCCTCCATGCTTGTTTAGCTTCTGCTCCGACATATTTCACCTGCTTTTCTTCACGTCTGTATGAATCTCGCCACCTTTGACCCGCAGCTGTTTTCCTGACAGCAGCGCTTCGTCTCTCGGTGTGAAATTAATTTCCAAGGTGTAAATTTTAAAGCTAATTATCACAGACCTGTTAGCTGCCTCCCGGTTCTCGTCTTCATCCATCTCACAGCACATCCTGACTCTCCTGTTTTTTCTCCACCATGAATATTTGATGACCTTCTTCTCAAGGCCAGGGGATGAGGGAATGTTATCCTACCTGTCAGGGCGAAGGACTCGCAGTTTAATGCGTCTTGGTTAACGGCCGAAAGACTCGCCCTGATACAGACACTGAGGCTGCGTTCGAATTTATGGGCTGCGTCTTCCAAGGACACGGTTTACCTGGACTGGATCCTTCGAAGGAGACAGGGAGAGTTTGAATTCAAACAGGACTAGCCTTTAGCGGCTTTTACCGCCATACGCTCTGTTGCTTAGCAACCGTGACAGTTGACACACAAAGCAAGAAAAAAACGAATATCAAACTTTTCAAAAATGTTTCTTTTCTATTTTTTTTTTCTTCTTTATTGTAAAGTGAACAGTGGCGGTTCTAGACCAAATGTGCCAGGGGGCCAGGAGGGGGTCAGCCTGTTTTCATGGGGGCCCAGAAAAGCATGAAATAAAAAAAAATATAAAAAAAAGGGCAAGGGATTTAAATATATGAAGAGAGCTGTGTCGGGTTCATAAAATGTAGGTTTTTGCAAAAGAAGAACTGAAATACACAATTATTGATACAATTTCTGCAGAAAGGAGAGACAGAGACCTCCTCCGCAGAGCATTTTATTAACAGAACATGATGCATGGTTACAAACAGAGTATTGTTCTGACAGAACAATTGATCAGTTCATTAAGACAGAATTCTCCATCAGAATGACAAGGCAGGATGGTCTCCTGACTGAATCATGACATAGGAGTGGAGCATCCCCTTGCACAAATGTTTCATAAACACACATTAATTTTATAATCATCATTGAATAAACCTAACAAGCTGCATGAAGTGATATTTCTATTCAAATAGGTTTAATTAAGGTCCTATTTCTTATTCATAATTTAGTAGTTTTACATATTTTTGACTTAATGTAAGTCAAAATTACCATTTTTTTTAAATAAAAACTGAATTAGAACTCGAGAAAAACTGAAAAATTCAGTTGTAAAAATTAGAGCATTTTTTTCTCTTTTTTTACATTTTAAAGAAGAAAACTGAGATCCTATCTCAACACCACTGAAGCTATCACCTTATTATATTTAAATAATTAGTAAAACATAATTTGTAAAGAAAAATTAATTAGTAACCCTGTCTGTTCCAGTGCATATATTATGAGTATTATGTTTTCAGTACAGGGGCCATAACAGGGGCCAAGACGTGATCTACAAGGGCACTGGCCCCTATCTAGAACCGCCCATGGAAGTGAACAAAGACTCATGAGAATCCAGAGTGGAATAAAGGTTTCAACCACCGGGAGCAGGAACAAATAAAATCAAATCTAATGATTTTTACCGTAGTCAGTTAAATAACCTGCTGCTGTTATTTTGCACATCTCTGATGTTGCTGCTATTTTCAAATATCCATTAGTGTAAAACTGTGCACAGTTGGTGCACAGTTTTATATTGTTAAAACACTTTACAGTAGGGATGCACGATATAATCGGCCCCCTATCGGTATCGGCCTTAAAACTGAATATCGGACATCGGCCACCCCACCGATATTTAACACGATATTTGATCAGCTTCTGAGTTTCTTAAGTCTAAAAAAAAGTACTACTTCTTCTTCTTCCTTAAAAACTTCTTTTTTACAGACTTAAAAACTTCTAAAGACGAGGGAAAAAATATTGATACATTAAAATATCACAATATCTTCATATGCTGATATATTGCCATTTAAAAACACCATATCAATCTCTTTTACTAATGAAATATTGCTATATGTCATCGTTATGCTACGAAATCCCCCGAAAATTCACAAAATGTTGCCATATTTTTATATGTTGATATATTGACGCGGTATCGATCTATTTTACTAACAAAATCTCACAAGAATTTGCAAAATATCACGAGAGTTTGTAACAGAACGATGAAATTTCACCAGATTTTGAAAGTAAAATAGATCGATACCGCGTTTTAAAAATCTATTTGATATCAGCATATGAAAATATATTTGAGTATATTATTTTTCAAAGTGTCAGAAATGGATAACAAAACTGCTATTTTCAATGACTACTTATTTTTGTCCAGCTTTAACATCGGTATCGATATCGGTTATCGGCTACATGAGTTTTAAAATATCGGATATCGGCCAAAATCCCAATATCCTGCATCCCTACTTTACAGAATTTTATTGTTTAATTTTAACTTTCCAACGTTATGTTAGTCTTATACATTTTTCTAAGGTTCACATTTGTGTGACTAAAATTTTTATGCTGCTGTAAAAACCAGAATCTCCCCATTGGGGGACAATAAAGGGATTTTCTGTTCTGTTCTATTCTATAAAAGGGGTAGAAAGATATAAATAAATCTAAACAATGCATGTATAAAAAAAAATATTATCTGCAAAATCTCTTATATTCAACTACAAAAAATACTCAAAATAACTAATAAAAAATAAAAATCCTATCAGATTTATTTTTCCCCACATTGCAGATATATTAGAATCTGTCCTTAAATTACAGCCAAACCCATTTACACAGTAACAGATAAAAACCTTTAGATAAATCAAACATTATCGCCACATATCTGACTCAATAACTATTAAAACAACTAATTTCATTCATTTTAGGCGCAACGATTCACATACCTGCATTATATTAAACTGAACTTAAAATATTCACCACAGTTTGGCGCCAAGTACCTTTTTCCTCTGAGCACAGAGCAGCCGGCTTGCTTGGTCTCACAATGAATGCTGGGAAAACCAAGGATACAGAGGATACATCAGACCCTTTCTTTAAATCGGGTAAAAAGAAGGAAGCTTTTGTAGGCCGCATAACGAGGACTCTGAATCCGACCAGACCTCGGTGCAGCGCTATGACGTAATCGGCCTTCGGAGGACGCAGCTCCTGAATTCGAACGCAGCCTGAGGCTGGAGTGACCTGGAACAGATGAGGAACACGGGTCAGGGGGTTTCAGGGGGGCAGAGAAGGGTTATGTTTTTTATACTCTAACATTTTTCATTACAATGAAACAAACAACACACAGAACTTTGGGCACTTATTTGTAGTTAAATAAAAAAAAAAAGGGGGGGAAACATTACAAGATTTTACACCTAATTATGCTTCCTTGCTCTTGTATGTCAGCTATTTAGTCCAGGATTTGTTGTATAAGTGTCTTTTTATACGTAAAAGATAATTCAACTTTTCCATATAGTGAATCTCCTCCACGACTTCCCTCCAGTGGTGTAGCTGGGGAGAGAGTTTCTTTAGCCAAGAAGCTTTTTTTGCTTGAAATTTATAGAATTTTAAAAAGATACTCATCTTTTCCAGATATCAGCCCCAGCAGAAAAAGTCTGGGGTCTTTGGGGATGATATATCCCAAAGTTTTCCCAGTGGTCTGACAGATTCCATCCCAGTAAGGTGCCAACTTTGGGCAGGACTAAAATACGTGAGAGTCTCCAAAAGAAGGGTTTTGTTTTACGTCTCTGAGCGACTTTTACAAGTTAGAATTCTGTCCCTTTAATTTTTCATAGAGAAATCATCATAAATTCTCATTTCCGTTGGTGCTTCACTGCAAAAACGATCTAGAAATAAGTGAAAATTTCCTTAATTAAGTGTTTTCACCCTTAATTTGAGTAGGTAAATGAGATAGTTTGCCAAAGGAATGAGTCATTTTACTCTTAAAATAAGATAATTAGATAATATGCACTTGAAATATGACAATGCAATAGTGTTTTCTTATTTTAAGTGTAAATTGTCTTGTTCCATTGGCAGAATGTCTTTTTTACCTCCTCAATTCAAGAACAAATGCACTTATTTTAAGAAAAAAATGACTTATCTAGATTTAGATTTTTTGCAGTATTGGGCTGCTGGTGGCCCAGCATGGCGCCTCGCTGTGTCCTCAGCTCTGTGATTGGTGGAAGGAGCTGCTTTCATCCACTCTCTGGTGGTCCAGAGGGTTCCTCCTTGTCGGGTCTTAAACCGTCTCACCTTATTAAATCAGAAACTTTTAGCCTCAGTTTGAAATGTAACTTTCTGTCCTTCCTGCAGGAAGAGAAGGAGCAGCTGATCGAGTACCGCAGTACGGTGGCGAGCCTGGTGGGACGGGCCAAGACGGTGGTCCAGCTCCGGCCCCGCACCGCAGCGAGCCCGCTGGATGGGGCCACGCCCATTAGAGCCATCTGTGACTACAAACAGATCGAGGTAAGAGAGCTGAACCTGAACTCTTTCTGATGCAAGCTCACCTCTGACCCTCACCAACACCCGCCTCCTCCTGGAAACTCCTCCATAAACACCGAGACATTCCTCTGAGGTTCAGGGACGGTTGGTCTGCTTGAAGGAGCTGTAAAAGTTCTCCCTCCGTTCCACATAAATACGGCCTGATAAACATTTAGGGGAACAGAGAGAGGATAATTTCACTTTCTGAAACAGGTGGAAACACGTGGATAAAAAGCTCAGATGGCCTTTATTATGTTGAGACAATGGAGATAACTTTTTCTAATATTCAGCTGAATCAGATTTATTTTAAAATATCTTAAATTAAGTAATCATCTTATATTCAGGAGCATAAGAACCACAATCCAATAAATAAACACGGCTTTTAATAAATATCTTAATAAAAAAAAAATTCCAATTGAATTGATGGAATTGTTTAATTCAATCCAGAATTATTGTAATATTTAAATCATTAATAGATATTTACTTTGGAAATAATTATTAATCGAAGAATAATCCTTTAAATCGACTTTTTTAAACGAATAGTTTTGAGGTTATGTTTTCCTTCCACTTAACTTTCTGTAGACATGTTTAGTCACTGTCCAGTTCAATCCATTAGAACTTGCTGAGTCATAGTGACAGTTTAGTTAGTGATGGACTGTAGATCAGGAAATGTCAAATAATTGAAGAGATACAGAAATTATTTAAACATTTTTACTTAATGAAGTCAGATTCAACGTAATTTAGAGTGTGTTCTGAATTAATATTAATTTGATTTAAATAAATTTGATATTAAATATGAGATGGAAATGTTCCATTTAATAAATAATGCGTTGGCTCTTTTAGTCTTTGGCTGCGAATTGAAGTTCTCACAGTTTTTCTCATTTGGTTTTCAGAAAAAAGGCCAAAGTTAGAGATGGTTCCAGTAACTAACAGACTCACTAAACCGTGTTTAAAAACGTATCTGTCAACATGATGCATCTGCAAAAAAAAAAGTCACATCTTTTTACGATTTATCATTAAAATAATCCAGAATTTTTGAGCCTAAAAGGAATAGGAACGTTTTAGCCGTTGCATTTTAATTTTAATTTTCTCGTCGTGTCGTCCTTTTTCCTCTCAGTTATCTCTCAGCTTATCTGAATTAAAGTTAATTTCAATAAACTCTTAGTTTCTTTACTGTTTTTACTGTATTTATTGTTTTAAAAATATGATTTAAAATCCTAGTCCACAAGTATCCTCATTCACATTTTCCCCTAAATTTTTAACGTTATGATAGATGTTTACATTATTTATTGGCTGCATCTTAAAATGACAAAGATATTTTCAATTTAAACACAAAAATAATACAATATAACCTACAATAGCTTAAATGATCAATTCAGTTTAGTCTTTCAAAGAAGCTGCCTGTAGTGTCTTTAAATGTCCAGCAGGTGTCAGTATTCTGTGAGATTATTAATACAGTTTGGCAATTGCTTCAAGATGCCTCATTAACTCATCACTAAGGAAATGGAGGTTTAAGCAGAGAGGGTCCCTAACGCGTCCCGGTCCCTCTGGGTGCTTCTGAGCGACTCCTGGTCAGGATGTCTTCAGTCTAAACGCTTTTCATTATTAATTTGTCCCAAGCAGCACTTTGCACCCCCCGCGCTCTGCTGGACACGCATCTGCTGATGCCGCTGCTATATTTAGAGCTTGGTTCTGGAGGGTTTTAGACGTGTCCAACTGAAGCAGGGAGGGGGTTTGGTTCTGCTGCAAAGCTCAGCGGATCTCCAGAAAGCGGTTCACCACAGTAATCTATCTTCTTCACTTTCTTTTTTTTCTCCACACCCCTCCTCCTCCTCCTCTCCTCTTCCTCATTCTCTTCCCTTCTTCCTCTGGTCTGTCGGTCCGGCTGACAAGACAAACGTCCAGGTAGAGCTGCCTCTCTTCTCCTTCTCTAACCTCAGATTCTCACTCTGCAGCATCCTGGCTGCCTGCTGCTCCCTTATCAGCTCATTTAAGACGCCTTTAAAATTCAGCAACTTTTCTTCAAATTTAATGATGCAGATGATCCATTGGATCCACTTTATCCACACTGCAAAAAATTTGAATCTTAACAAGTAATTTTTTTTCTTAAAATAAATTCATTTTTCCTTGGATTGAGGAGGTAAGTTAGACACTTTGCCAATGGAACAAGACAATTTACATTTAAAATAAGAACAAAATAATTGCATTGTCTTATTTTAGGTGCATTTTATCTAACTATCTTATTTTAAGAGTAAAAATACTAATTACATTGTCAAATCCTCTTATTTACCTACTGAAATTAAGGGTAAATACACTTAATTTAAGAAATCTTTACCTTTTTCTAGATTGTTTTTGCAGTGCACCAAATAAAAGAGGGATAAACAGAGCATGTATTATATTAACATGATTTTATTTAAGAAGAAAATGTCTCTTAATATGTTGTATTTACAGACAAGTGGAAATTTATTTCATTGTTGCACCAATAAATCTGAGGGTGAGACGTTTTAATCCGTCCGTCTCAAAACATTATAGATCAATTTTTAATTATTTCTGATCTGCATGCAAATTATTTTATAGTAAATAAATCTTAATTTCTATGGAGAACAGGATGTTTGATGTTTTTATGATAATAGGGATTCAAATACAAACCAAATTTCTCAAGGATTAGTAGGATAGATGCTTAATCTAAAAACACAACTTTAAAGGTTTAGCGATCACACAGAAAAGAAAGTAGAAACAAAATATAGAAACCCTATTTAGATTTTGTTATTATACAGCCTATTACGGAAGTGGATTAGGGCCACTGAAAAAAAAGATATTTAACTGATTTTTTAATTTTATTTCAGTTTAGTATGAGAAAAAAGTCAGAATTCTGACTTTTTTCTCACAATTCTGACTTTAATCTTAGAATTTTGACTTTTTTCTCAGAATTCTGACTTTTTTCTCAGAATTCTGACAGCTAACAAACATGTTAGCATCAAGCCATAGCCATGTCTGTTTTAGAGACTAGCTCTCTTGTTTTAATGACCTTCTGCTCCTCCATTAATGAGGCGACCCCTCAGGCACGTAAAAAGTTGCCTAATTCCGTCATTTTCCACCAATGTGTCACTGGCCACCTCAAACAACTCACATCTTTGTCAGTGAAGCTGAGTGCTCCCACATCTGTTCCTTCATGGTGCCCATCTACATTAAGATCCAAAATTCTGAGAAAAAAGTCAGAATTCTCAGATTAAAGTCAGAATTCTGACTTTTTTCCCATACTAAACTGAAGTAAAATTTAAAAATCAGTTAACTTTTTTTTTCAGTGGCCCTAATCCTCTTCCGTAGCCTGTACAATTTTATCCATAAAAAACTAAATTTTTATTTCTTACTCTCACATTTACAGATTTAGCCATTTTTAATAAAAAATTCTACTGTATTTTATTAAATTCTTTATATTATTAATTTTAAAGATATTTGATTAATATTTTTAGTTAGTTATATAATTTGATGTTAAATTTTTGGATCACATGAATTGAACCTATTTCTTAAATTTTTAAGTTAATTAAGTTTATTTTCTCCACAAACTTCATTTTGTTAAATAATTGTATCATAATAAATGTATCATCAAATAAAACAAACACCTTCATGATATTTTTTTTATTATAAATGAGTATCTTTGGTGAATTTTAAAACAACTCGACTCAACAGGAATAGAAGTTAAACGATATTTGAGCAGAAAAAAAAAAAACTCTTAATTTTCTCCATAAATGATTGGTTTGACTAAAAGTTTAACATGTTTACAGAAAATCTGTGAATATTTCTGCTGAATTAATTTATAATACAAAGAGAAAACACTTGATCTGTTGGTCCCAGATAAATAAAAATAAAATGCAGTTAAAAGTATCATGGATGTCTATAAATCCTTATAAAAGGAATTTTAGCGTTTAAACGTTTTAAAAAGTGTCTGCATGTCTCCCCTTTATGTTAAATGTCTGACATCAGCTGATAAGAGCGGAACTTTTTGTTTCCTGAGCTGAAAGAGGCGTCATCCAGTCAGAAAACAAGCAGCTCTGAACGCATCACATATATTTCCTGTCTGCATAACCTGCAAAGCTTTGCATTATGGATGTGTGTGTCTGTGTGCAGGGAAGGGGAGAGAAAGGCAGTTTATTTGGAAATAAATGCTAACAGTTTCTATTTAAAATCAGCCGTCAGTTTAACCAATATTTCCTGTTTCAATCATCACAGCTTGTTTGATGCAAAGCAGCTTGGTTCCCATCCCAGTTCCTCTGACCTCCTGATCATTTCAGGGCCTCTGCAGCTTCATTTGTTCCCATTTCATCATGAATCTGTTGCTCTTTGCTTTTGGTGGATGGTTTTTATTTTTCCTCTGTTTGATTTAACCACCTTCACCTCCTTTCTTTCTGTCTCTAATTTATAATTTTCTCCAACATTCCGTTCTTTCCCTAAATTAACTCAAACGCTCCTGTTGATTTTCTCCCATTTTTCCGACCATCATCCCCGTTCTTTCACCCTCCCAATCCCTTCTGCTCCCCCCATGAAACCCGCCTCAGATCACCATAAACCGAGGAGAGGAGTGTGTGCTGGAGGACAACTCTCAGAGGACCAAGTGGAAGGTGATCAGTCCCACCGGGAATGAAGCCATGGTTCCCTCGGTGTGCTTCAGCGTCCCTCCTCCGAACCAGGACGCGATCGACACATCCAGCAGGTCAGAAAACAAACTTTACAGGTTTTTAAATCTGGAAAGAAAAGTTGTTTTTTGTTGTTTAACTTACATTTAAATGAGGTAAAGCAATAAATTGCTGTGTGTTGTTATTAATAGTAATAGTTCTTTCATTTCTGGTTAGTGATATTTTACTTTTCTGCATTATATACATATTTTTTGTTTGCTTAGAAACACAAAAACTAGTTATAATAGATACCTATTTTGGTTGTCACCTTTAATCTGAGCAGGTACCGAAGATGGTCAATAGTTAATAATAATAATACTTGGCTGAAACCAAAAATTAAAAAAAGTAGGAAATAAAGGCCGAAAACTTAAATAATTACCCCATTAACACTATCCTACCGGTCTGAGCACGGTAACCAAGGACTGTTGAGTGTAAATGGTAAGCAGAACTGAACCGGACCGCACTTAACACAACCGAACAGCGCTAACGTGGTACTAGTTCATCAGTAGGACGCGGTGCGGTTCAGTTCTGGCTCGGTTCTCAGATAACAAATACCCCATTTACTCTACCCTTGAAAAACCGATCCATGCCGAGACCGGTCCGAGCTCGGATCAGTTAACCAGGCCGAGCTCGGTTCTGACGACCGTTTACACATCACGCTATCTCGGTTCCTCGACTGCTCGCCTCCTAGTGACGATCTGCGGTATTACTGCCAGTATTGAAGGAGGAAATCAAGCAGTTGGTGGCGGTAATGCACCAAAAGTTGTTTGCCAACCGCCATAAAACACAAGAAGAAGAAGAAGACGAAGAAGGAGGGAATCAAGCAAATCAAAATGGTGGCGCCCGTCACATTCAGAAAGTTATGCTTGATTATTATTGCTGTACTTCGGTGTTATTATTTAAAATGTTGCGTGGAGAAGATTTCGATTGTTGTTTATAGTTGAAGAAGAAGTTGTTCTTCTTCTTCTGTTTCCGGAGGGGCATTACCGCCAACTACTGGAATGGAGTGTGAATCGCGATGTGCAGCCAGACGGAGATGACGCGTTCTGCTCATGCGCTCTTGTTATCAGACAACCGAGCCAGGGAAAAACCGAGCCGAGCCCACCTCTGGAACTGGTTTGCAGTTTGCTCGGTTCAGTTCAGTTTGCTTTCCATTTACACACCATAAGTTATCTCAGTTACTGAGCTCGGACCGGTCTCGGCACGGTTTTTCAAGGGTAGTGTAAATGGGCTAACTGAGTGCATGAGCAGACAGCATTATCTCAGTACAGCCAGCTCTGTAATCAGGAAACTTCAGACATTCATAAAAATCCTAGCCGCCCTACCCTGCCACTTGATTTCCAGAAGTGATTCTGCTTAGCAGTGTGATGAGCATCAACGTCCGTCATTTTTTCCTGCGTCTGGAAGCCCTGATTTGACCATCATTTGTCGTATCCACTTCCCAAAAGCCGACTCTGTCAAGTACATTCATCAAAGGCTGCCTTCTGTGCCTGATTCTCCGCAAATAACAAAATATCACAATTATAACCAAACATACCTTCCTGACTGTTACAGGCACCGCCATGTTGATTGCTTGTTTACCTCTAGAGAGCAGTATTACCATTTTCAAGCGTAGTGTGTAAATGGTCGTAAGGAACGGAGCTCTGCACACATCGGTTTTCGTTCGGTTATAGTGTAAATGGGGCTAATGTCAAATATTAAAATCATAGCATTAATGGCAATAATGTGTACTAACACTATCAAAAAACATATGTTATATTTTTAACTTGAGGCATTTCCATAAATCAGTTAGAAAAGCAACAAAATATTGATTCACCACCAACATCTTTTTGTTACGTCTAGTGGTCTTTGGGAAACACAGTTCTCAAACACGTCTGTCACAGACCGAGTGGCATCAGTTTCCTTTTCCGTGTCGCGTTCTTCTCATATTCAGAACGGTGATGGGGACGTTTGGATTTCTGTGGCTTTTTGTGCCGCTAACCTGAGCGAGCACTGAGGCCGATGTGCAGCGTTAAAACTCACACCCCCTCACTCAAAACCTGACCGCTGCTCGCTCAACTCTGACATCTCACCTCCGCTACCTGCGCTCTGTTGCCTCAATCCTTTTTTCCCTGGGCTCGAAAACATTTCTGCATGCTGGATGTGCCGTTTGTTGCGTCATCACAAGTTTCGCCCGTGTTCTTTTAGTGTTAAATGTCTCTCAGCTGAAAACCAAAAGTCCACTGCTGTCGCTGCTGTCTGGTAGCGTGTTGGATTAAAAAATGTAGGTTCATAAAAGAGAAACTGAGTCGACACAGAAGAGGTATTTTTAACAGCTTCTGCAGAAGGAGAGAGTTACATTCAGCTCACTACTCTCTGTTGGACTTCCTCTGCAGAGCCTTTTTATTAGCAGATCATAACACATGGGGTGGGTTACAAAACAGTGTTCTTCTGACAAGGCAATTGATCAGGTCATAGGACAGAATGCTCCTCTGATTGAATCACAGAATAGAGTGGTCTTCTGATAACTGTGATCAGCCTTGCGCAAACATCAGTAATTTTCCACCACCGTTGCATGACAGTTTGCAGTAAACATGTAAAGCATCTCATTTCCTCAATGTTTTTATATACACACACATTAACTTTATAATCAGCATTGAATAAACCTAACAAGCGACAGCCTATGGCGACAGCAGGTCGCTGTGACGGCAAATTCCTCAATGCTTTGGAGGAGAGTTCTCTGTGCAAAGCATTCCAGGATATATCTGCTTCTTCTGAGGCCTTTCTTTTATTCTCATGCACTTCATAGACACATTTTCTCTTAAAACCCTCGGCCATATTGAAAGAACCGCAGTGAGAAAGGTGAGCTTCAATGACTGAAACTGTAGCTCACCACTGAAAGGCCACATGCGCAGAAAAAGATCGCCACAGGGACAGCACATAGGACGGCCTTAGGTAAACATATCACCAGAATGATTGACAATTAGGAGGACCACTTATTTAGATAAAAGATCATCCTCTATACCTTTACGATATTTGTTTTCTTATTTAAAACACATCATTTTATTCCACTGCGAACTTCAAGAAAAAATACCAATTTATCTTTAAATTTTCTCAATTATTTTAGTTTGTTTCCATCGGTTTTCCCATCATGAGCTGTAAAAAACAAGATTATGAGCGAATGATGTTTTCAATCGTAAGCCAAAACAAACCGGACGTAGAAAACGTCCCCAGCATTGGTGCTTGGAAGCATTTAGAGGAGCAGACGTGTGTTTGCAACCAGCTGAAGGGCTTTAGGAGGGTTCAGACTCACAGAGATGTTTCCTTCATCAACGCAGGACGGAGCAGTTGTATCAGAAGGTCATGTCTCTGTGGCATCAGCTGCATGTGAACATGAAGAGCGTGGTGACGTGGAACTACCTCCAGAAAGACATCAGAACCGTCTCCGGATGGACCCTGGACACGGTGAGAACCCCTCAGAGTCTTTACAGCTGTGTCGCTTCCTGTTGGTCTCACTTCTCCTCTCCGCTTGTATCAACCTTCAGGTACGCAGTCAGAGTCAGTCGGAGCGCCGCCATGTCCTGGAGCACCTGGGGTCCCAGCTGGCCGACTTCCTGTCTGACAGCAGAGAGAGCTCGCTGTTCACGTCGGCTGAGAGACGGGAGCTGGAGAGCGAGGTTCAGTGGGCGCAGCAGCACTGCCAGGACCTGCTGCACAACATGGAGACAGGTGAGGACCTGGATGCTCAGCTTTATACCTCTAAAAATTAATCTTTGTGTGACCAAAGTATGCGGTTGTCTCTCTGCAGCGGAGAAGGACGAGTCTGTGTCTCGGTCCTACCTGTCGGAGCTGCAGGACATCAGTCTGCGTCTGAGCGACACCGAGCGGAGGCTGATGAGAGCCATCGAGACGCCGCCTCCCAGCCGCCTGTCAGGCGGCAGCTTTGACAACACACAGCGGATCGCAGAGCAAGAGGTCAGTTTGAGCTCCATCTGCTGGTCACAAAACGCAATAACAGCTGTAAATATTTAACAAACCGGACTCCTGGCTTTCTAACAAATCATTAAATAAACAGTTAAGATTTCAAAGAAACTTTTTTTTCTCAAAAATTAATTCGCTTCATGTAGAGTTTTATTTGTTTTAAAGTTTTATGCAAATAAAGAACTTTTTATACTGGAGAGGGGAAAAAAATGTTTTATTTATTATTTTTTTTTTATTTGCTCAGAAAAAACTAAACAGAAATAATTTCCTCTCATCCAGAAGCTGAAATCCGAGCTGGACTCTCTGCGCTCCAGCCTGGGCGACGTCTCCCGCCGCTGTGTTACTTTCTTCGAGGAGAAGCCGTCGTCCTCCACCGTTCCCGTCCTTCGCTCCGAGCTCAGTCAGGCTGTGGAGCGGACGGACAGACTGAACAGCCTCTCAGCCGTCTACTTGGAGAAGTTAGTCAGACTTTTTATGTATTATCTCACAGAATTAAGTTTTTCTTCTCTTTCTCATGAAATTAAATATTTATCTTTGTTGTTATTTTCTTACCTGTTCAGGTTAAAAACAGTAGACTTCCTGATGCAGAGCCTGGATGAAACTGAGAGCCTGGTGAGGAAGTATGAGAGCAGACTGAGTGAGGAGGACATCGTTCCTGCAGATACAGCAGCCATTCAGAACCTCAGACAGCAGCTCGGGGTAAATATGCTCTAAACCTTTCCTTCCTTCGTGCTGCATGCCTGTGTTGACTCTATTAACGTGGTTTTATGGCTCCTCAGAGGTGGCAGGCTGAGCTTTCAGAACAAGAGGAGATTTTCCAGGCCCTGCAGGTTCAGGTGGATCGGGCCAAAGAGGCAGGAGCCGAGCTCAGCAAGCTGCACCCGGACCGCAGCAATGAGCTGGAACGGTACCAGGAAAGAGCCAATCAGATGGCAGAGAGGTGGAGTGGAGTCAAACGGCAGACAGAAACACGGTAGGTGGCGCAGCTCAGACCTCGGAGTCGTTATCAGGTTTTTAATTCTGACAAATCAAAGTTTGTCTCTTCAGATCTTGAATGTTAGGAAACTGGACCCCGTTGTGGGTTTCTGATTAACATTCTTTACTTCTCTGTCGTCCTTAATAACAGGCAGTCCGATCTGGAAGTTGTGGGCTCGGCGCTGCAGCAGTACAGAGAGAACCACTCAGCCCTGATCAGGTGGATCGAAGAGACGACAGAAAGACAGGAGAGCGCCCAGCCTGGACAGATGGACAGCAGGGCGCTGTCAGAACAACTGGCCCAGCAGACGGTCCGTTCAGACCCTATAACAGCACAGGGCCTTACTGTTGTCATGGTTACATATAAACGGTCTCTTTCAGGCATTGGTAGCTGAAATCGAGCAGAACCAGACCAAACTAGACGAGTGCCAGACCTACTCCAAACAGTACTGTGCCTCCGTCAAGGTGAGCATCGGTTCACTTATCCATCCATCAATGCAGTCATCCATCCATCCATCCATCCACTCATCCATCCACTCATTCATCCATCATCCAACCATCCCTTCACTTTTCCATCCATCCATTCATCCATCCATCCATCCACTCATCCATCCATCCATCCACTCATCCATCCACTCATCCATCCACTCATCCATCCACTCATCCATCCCCTCATCCATCCATCCACTCATCCATCCATCCATCCATCCATCCACTCATCCATCCACTCATCCATCCCCTCATCCATCCATCCATCCATCCATCCATCCATCCATACTTCCATCCATCCATCCATCCATCCATCCATCCATCCACTCATCCATCCACTCATCCATCCCCTCATCCATCCATCCACTCATCCATCCATCCATCCATCCATCCATCCACTCATCCATCCACTCATCCATCCATCCATCCATCCACTCATCCATCCATCCATCCATCCACTCATCCATCCATCCATCCATCCATCCACTCATCCATCCATCCATCCATCCATCCACTCATCCATCCACTCATCCATCCATCCATCCACTCATCCATCCATCCATCCATCCATCCACTCATCCATCCACTCATCCATCCATCCATCCACTCATCCATCCATCCACTCATCCATCCACTCATTCATCCATCATCCAACCATCCCTTCACTTTTCCCTCCATCCATTCATCCATCCATCCACTCATCCATCCACTCACCCATCCATCCATCCATCCACTCATCCATCCACTCATCCATCCATCCATCCATCCATCCATCCACTCATCCATCCACTCATTCATCCATCATCCATGCACTCATCCATCCACTCATTCATCCATCATCCAACCATCCCTTCACTTTTCCCTCCATCCATTCATCCATCCACTCATCCATCCATCCATCCACTCATCCATCCACTCATCCATCCATCCATCCATCCACTCATCCATCCACTCATCCATCCACTCATCCATCCATCATCCATCCACTCATCCATCCACTCATTCATCCATCATCCAACCATCCCTTCACTTTTCCATCCATCCATTCATCCATCCATCCATCCACTCATCCATCCACTCATCCATCCACTCATCCATCCCCTCATCCATCCATCCACTCATCCATCCATCCATCCATCCACTCATCCATCCACTCATTCATCCATCATCCAACCATCCCTTCACTTTTCCATCCATCCATTCATCCATCCATCCATCCACTCATCCATCCATCCATCCACTCATCCATCCACTCATCCATCCACTCATCCATCCCCTCATCCATCCATCCATCCATCCATCCACTCATCCATCCACTCATCCATCCACTCATCCATCCATCCATCCACTCATCCATCCATCCATCCATCCACTCATCCATCCACTCATCCATCCACTCATCCATCCATCCATCCACTCATCCATCCATCCATCCATCCACTCATCCATCCATCCACTCATCCATCCACTCATTCATCCATCATCCATGCACTCATCCATCCACTCATTCATCCATCATCCAACCATCCCTTCACTTTTCCATCCATCCATTCATCCATCCATCCATCCACTCATCCATGCACTCATCCATCCACTCATTCATCCATCATCCAACCATCCCTTCACTTTTCCATCCATCCATTCATCCATCCATCCACTCATCCATCCATCCATCCATCCACTCATCCATCCACTCATTCATCCATCATCCATGCACTCATCCATCCACTCATCCATCCATCCACTCATCCATCCACTCATCCATCCATCCACTCATCCATCCATCATCCATGCACTCATCCATCCACTCATTCATCCATCATCCAACCATCCCTTCACTTTTCCATCCATCCATTCATCCATCCATCCATCCATCCATCCATCCATCCATCCACTCATCCATGCACTCATCCATCCACTCATTCATCCATCATCCAACCATCCCTTCACTTTTCCATCCATCCATTCATCCATCCATCCATCCATCCATCCATCCATTGTAACTTGATGATCCTGTTTTATATATCTATGAATTCCCATGATGCAATTCTTCTGTAGGATTATGAGCTGCAGCTGATGACCTACAGAGCCTTTGTGGAGACGACGCACAAGTCCCCGGTGAAGAGGAGGAGGATGCACTCTTCCTCTGACGCCATCACTCAGGAGGTAATGAAAAAACAAATTTTTAATCTGGATTTTGCTTTTTCATGTCACCTTAAACGGACGCTGATTTTTTTTTTTTTTTTCTTGCCGGTTTTCTTTCCAGTTTATGGATCTGCGAACGCGTTACACAGCCTTAGTCACTTTGACAACCCAGCATGTGAAGTACATCAGCGATGCACTGAGAAGACTGGAGGAAGAGGAGGTGAAACCATTGTTTTACTCTGCAGATCAAACCTTCTAGTGTTTTTTTTTTTTTTTTTGGCTTCCATGGTAACATTCCCTCCTTTCATCTGTGCAGAAAGAGGTAGAGGAGGAGAAGCAGGCCAGGGTGGGCCAGGTTTCAGAGCTGCTGGGCTGGGTCAAAGGCCTGCAGGGCCGGACCGGGGGTCCCAGCGCAGAGTCTTCACTTGCTGCTCAACAGGTAGCTGATGCTGCTTTATTTTATTTTTGTTTTATCTGAAAACAGCTGCTGAGTTGGTGCTGAATGTGTTTCCTCTGAAGGCCATCAGTGAGCAGCTGGCAGGCAGGAAGGAGCAGGTGGCTGAAGCCATCAGGAGCACGCAGGGCTTCCTGTCTTCCAAACAGGCCACCAAGTAAGACCCACACTCACTCACAGTTTCTGGTTATCGATCCACAGCTTCCAGTTTGTTTGTTTTTTAACAAATTATGTTTATTAGGTATTTTTGAACATTCATACAAAAACTGAAAAAGAAAAAGAACAATAACAGGGCAAAACTTATACAGCACTGATACAGAAAACAAGACAAAATAAAAATCGGATGTACATAAATTACAGCATCATATGAGAAACCTAACCAATTTATACAAACGTGTCATTCAGATTCACATTACTGGTTTTTAATTTTTGAGATTTTGAAGTAATCAAGAATACATTCCCATCTTTTTTTAAAAGCATGAAATTTCCCATTCATACAGTATCTCCATCTTTCTAATACAATAACTCCAGAAAGCAAATTTTTCCATAGCTGGATCGAAGGGGCGTCAGAACCAACCAATTTAAGCATTATTGATTTTTTTGTTTGCAGATGATGAAACAGTAACTGACCAATAGTTCAGTTGTTGTTTTCTGCTCTGACACTTTGAGTCCAATATGCAGATATTAGCAGCTTGATCAACTCATCTTTATTTAAAGAGCCCTTTAAAACAACCAAAGCTGCCATAATATCAAGAAAATAAATTATAAAAAAACAAGACAGTTTAAAAGAATAAAACGAATAAAATTAGATTGAACAGATAAAACCAGATAATACTTATTTCAGATACTATGAAAAACTGTAAAAATAAAGTGGCTAAAACTAGAAAGACCTACATTGGACGAATGGTTTGACATTATTTATAACCTCTTTAACCCTGTAATGCCAAATGTATCATATTAGATACATACGGTTTCTGAAATGTTTGGCGTCTGACACCTTTTGCATAATTTAATGGTAAAAAATTTGCTCAAAATCCTATTGTACACATCAGATATACCTGATAACAGCCAGTAGAAGACTACACAAAAAATAGTATTGACTTATCGCATAGTAATAAATTATTAATATCAAAAATTTATTTTGTTTTTTTCTTTTTACATATTTTGTTAAAAGAACAAATTAGGACTTCAAACCAAAAAAAAAGTAATTTTCTGTTTTGTTTTATTCTTGGATCGGGATTTAAAGGGTTAAGATGAAAAGGATTGCTTTTGTTTTAAGACTAAAAAGGGATCTGTTTATGAAAAGATAAGAAAGATGGATCAGATCCATCCATATTTTATATACTTCTTCTATCCACTTCCCCCTTCTTCCTTTTTTTTTTTTTTTTTTTTTCTCTAGGCCTGTCTTTTTCAACCAAGTAAATTATTTACTTATTTTTCCCATTGTATAACTGAAGTGCACCCCAGCATTTTTGGTCTTAGACAAAGGAGTTAGGTCCATAATCTGTAAACATTTTGTATGTTAATTTCTTCCGTTTTTATTTTTTTATTTTTTTTTGGGTGTGAGATGAAGGAAGAATCAATCATCCCTATCTGCAGATCCTGCAGAATTGCAGATGTCTAGCTAGACGATGCTGTTTTAATGAACAGATAGCTGGAGATGACTGATGTATTGTTTAACAGCGAAAATAACAGTAAAAATAAAAAAAGATAACTTGCAAGTAAAATAAAACACAAAAACAGTCTCACACTGTATTGAATAATTTGTCATCTTTCTGTCAACCTTCATGGATTTTATAGGTGCAGCACCTTTTTGTTTCATAAACATTATTATTAGAGATGCACGATATAACCGGCCCCCTATCGGTATCGGCCTTAAAACTGAATATCGGACATCGGCCACCCCACCAATATTTAAGCCGATATTTGATCAGCTTCTGATTTGTAAAGTCTAAAAAAAAAAGAAAAATACTACTTCTTCTTCTTCCTCAAAAACTTATTTTTTACAGACTTAAAAACTTCTAAAGACGAGGGAAAAAATATTGATACATTAAAATATCTTCACATGCTGATATATTGCCATTTAAAAACACCATATCAATCTCTTTTACTAATGAAATATTGCTATATGTCATCGTTATGCTACGAAATCCCCCGAAAATTCACGAAATGTTGCCATATTTTTATATGGCAACATTTCGTATTTCACGAGATCTAGAAAGTAAAATAGATCGATACCGCGTTTTTAAAAATCAATTTGATATCAGCATATGAAAATGTATTTGAGTATATTATTTTTCAAAGTGTCGGAAACGGATAACAAAACTGCTATTTTCAATGACTACTTATTGTTGTCCAGCTTTAACATCGGTATCGATATCGGTTATCGGCTACATGAGTTTGAAAATATCGGCATATCGGATATCGGCCAAAATCCCAATATCGTGCATCCCTAATTATTATTGACAGAGTGCAACTGAGGTTGTTGATTCAGCCAGCTGACCAGCAGTGCCCTTTTAAAGCATTGGAACAGTTTGGCTGTTGCTGATCTGCGTTGTTCTCTGTAACTTCGTGCAGCGTTAAACCCTCCTGTCTTTCCCAGATTGTCTCCGGAGGAGCGCGCTCAGGTGGAGGCTCAGCTGGAGGAGCTGACGGCCACCTACAACCAGCTTCTGGACAGCTCCACCCAGCAGCTGCAGCAGCTGGAGCAGCAGCTGGCCGAGGAGGAGGAGAGAAAGGTTAGATGGGCTGAAAAAAAACGGTGGGACAGATTCATGATGGAACTGAACTCATTTTAGAAGGGAATTAAAAAAAAATGACAGTGAGGAAGGAAAAAATATGGCTTTGAGTCTCAACACGCTTGCAAGCTATTGTTGAGTTTGTGAGTCGGCGAGAGTCTGTGTGTGTCAGCATGTTGTGTTCACAAAGAAACATCATCATTGATTTGGTTTAACCAGCATCTGAGACGCTGTTCAGACTTAAAACTGCTACTTGACTTTCTGTACCCAAAGAGGAACAATTTTAAGACCCTATAAGATAGATGGAGTCCGAACTGCGTCTCTGCATGAAATAATTAATCTCCACATCATGAAAAATCTGCAGATTTTGTCATTTTCATTGTCATTATCATCAGAAAACAATCATGCGCTGAGCTGCTAACACCCGAGGCCTCAGTGGTGCTGCAGTAGACGAGTCCTGCTCCGATCATTTTAGCAGCAGAGCAGCGTTTTTACCATAGATGCATCATTAGAAAGCTGATGCATCAAATTAGACACACTTTCACCCTCATTTCTGTTGCTGCACAGTAGCTCAGTTTTCTCCATGCAGACCTAAAACAACCCTGCATAAAGTCAACACTCCGCATTTCACTTCCTGTCTAAGAGTATCCCATATATGTGTTTAAAATTGTAAATAATGTTTGTGTCATGCTGTTAAAAGTCTGTTGCATCGGTTAAAATCAGACCGAATGTGTGGGAGCATTATTTATTTATTTAGTTTGTTTGAGAAAGTCAGCGCACCTAAAGGCCAGCTGTGCAAGGCACCAACAAAAAATACTCACTTCACCATTTGAGCATGTTGTGTCCAGATCACAAGAGCGTGTGTGTGTGTTTGCAGATATTTGTGTTTCTTCTAATGCATTCTATTAATGTGTGAAAACTTTAAACCAGCATTTGTGCTTGAAACTCACTAACAGCTGCCAGAGGAGAAATGTGGACATCAAAAGCCGAGGATCAGAGAGAAAAATGGAAAACTGAGGAGAACTGTTAGAAATCCGTCCAGTTTAGGCCAGTTTGATGATCAGGTGTTTTGTAGCTTTAGACTCTCACCTCACCTGTAGCCTAGTCGTGTGAGAATATTTCAGGGTCATATAGTTAGTTTGCAGGATTTATCTCGCAGAAAGCTAACTATCAGCTTCTCAGCTGTCGCGCCTCGCTCTGCCGAGCCGCTGAGACGATCCCGTATGGTAAGTAGCGCTCACTTTCTCTCTTATCGCCGCCTGTTAGTTTAAACCCCTGTAAAGATTTTATTCTTCCTCTGCTAGCTTGTGTGTCCTTGCTCACTTCTACTGTTTCAAAGTTTACTTTTCCACATCATGGGATTGATTCATCAGTTTTTTGTTAGTTAAAACCTGAATTTGCCCTTTTCCTGTCAGAAATAATTAAACAACATGAAGTTTTTGCACAATTTGGAAGTATTTAGTAATTTTTTATTAGCCAGATTGGTTAATGTTATACATAAACCAAAAAAAAAATGCACACACCCACACTCTTATGTAGCTATCAACAAGCTTATGTCATAGTTTAGCCTGTATTGCTTTCTGTGGGTTTCATTTAAACTGCCTGGTTTCTCAGTTGGAATCCCTTTTTTAATCAAAGGTAACATAATTTCAACAAAGTCAGAGATCTTTGTCTTTCAGAAGCTTAATCCAGTCTTGATTTATCTAATTGTTTTGGATTAATTAGCCTGTTTAAAACCAAATCATCAGCCACAGGTCAAGGATTGTAAACAGAACTACTGGATTAAAGTCTATCATTATGAAAAAAGTCTGTTGAAAGTGAAGCCAGGTTCATTATCCCATTTGTTGACGGTGCAAACCAGAAAAGAAGCCAAATTTCTACCGGAGAAATGTCTTAATCGTTGGAAGAGACTAAGACTGACCTATTTGATGATAATTAGATACGGAGTCTATTCCTATATGGAAAGCATGGCAGTGGCAGCATCATGCTTTGGTTCTTGAATGCTTAAACTGGAATACAAATCATCTAACCTGACTCCGCAAGATGGATTTGCTCCGCATATCCATCTGGAAACCTTCCGTAAAAGTAATTTTTGGAAGGGGCGAAAATACTGGTTAGCTGATTGGCCTATGTTGGTGATAGACGTGCCAAATAAACCAATCAGATCAACGAAGCATATGACGTACTAACAGAGCAACGACGAAGAGGAGCCAATTGATAGATCAAACTCTTGCCGAAACCAGTCGGGAGAAGAGCAAAAACATCTTTTCCTTTGAGAAAAGCCTCCAGAGCAGTGTTTTGCTCTTCTTTCAGTGAAGTAATACTCTGTAATTCCGATAAAACTTGCTCGATAGCCATGCTAGCGCTGGTTTAATCGGCTGAAGCCGCCATGTTCTTTAGACTGAACTGTCGCGCTTCTCGTTGGGTCACACCTCAACCCGCCTCAAAGCCAACGCTGATTGGACGTTCGTTTGGTGAACGGCTCCAAATTTTCTTCAACGGAGAGTCTCCAGACTGATCTGCGAGTAAACCTTGAAAGCTCGCGAGATGGTCTCACGAGGCTACAAATCATCAGCCAGATGATTAAAACTTTGAAAAAGATGAATAACAGCAATGGTCTCAATACATTAAACATTCTGGTTGGTTTTGAATTAATAAAACAACCATAACATTTAGCTTGCATCAAAAACACAGTTTATATAAATTGTTAGGTTTAAGAATTGATACCCATGAATGGTTTATGTAAACTTGCTTAAACTGTCTCTAGAGCTTTTTCTGCAGTTCTTGGTTCTTGCATGCTTAGTGCTAATTTTAGATTAAGGTTTCTACTTAACTTTATATATACTTGGGATTTTAAACTGGGTAGAAAAACAGGTTTGTTGGAAATGGTGGCGGGTTTTGTTCCATTATTCACCTACAATGTATTATCTCTATATCATAACATAATACCGATTAGAAGTAGTAACCTTTAGGTCTACAACATGCTTTTCTTGAAATATGTTTAACCTAAGCTTTTATTTCCTTTTTCTTTCTCAGAACCAAGCCGCCATCGCTGGAGTGATCGACCTGGGAACAGTGGAAACCTTCTCGGTGTTTCAGGCGGCCCAACGTGGCCTCGTTGACCAGGACACCTGCTGTGTTCTGCTGGAGGCCCAGCTGGTGCTTGGTGGACTCTTCAAACCAAACTCATCTGAGATTTATTCTTTGAATGAGGGTCTAAATGAAGGCCTTGTTGATGCTAACACATGTCAATCATTAGCTGAACTTGAGAGTGCCTTAATGTTGATAAGCAAGCCTGTGGGTGATCAAAAACGTCTACCTGTAGCTGCGGCCATGGAGTCTGGATTGATAAGAGAAGATGTTGGACTTCGTATTCTCGAACTCCAGATCAACAGCGGTGGACTCAGAGATTCGTGTGGGAAGGTTATGAGTTTCGAGCAAGCAGAGGATTTGAGAGCTTTGTCACCCAGGATCTTCAACAAACTTCAGTCTAGGCTTCAGCACAGAGAGCTGCTCGATCCAAACACGGCTGAAAAAGTAAACCTTGAGGAGCTGAGGCTGCGTTGTATTCCTGACGAGGGTGTCCTTCTCTTTCCTGTCAAACAGCAGCCCGGAGGAACTGTTTGCCTCCGATCAGGAAGAAAAGTTGGCATCTTTCGTGCTGTTCAAGAAGGACTGATTGACCGTGCCGTTACCGTAAGACTCCTCGAGGCTCAGCTCTTTGCTGGTGGTATTACTGACCCACGTTCAGGTCACCGGCTGACGATTGGGGAGGCTGTGCGCCATGGGCTTATGGACCAGGATTTAGCTTGCACTATGTTAGCACGACAACTGCAGAACGGGGGAATTATCGACCCGCTCGGTGGAGAACGTGTAGATTTAGAGGAAAGCATCCGCAGGGATCTTCTTTCCCCTCGTTTAGCCCTGTTGGTTCTTGAGTCTCTTTGGACTTTTACAGGACTCCTTTGGCCTGAATCAGGAGAAATCATGCCAATTACTGAAGCTTTGGAACAAGGGGTGATTTCAGGAGATTTACCAAGAAACGCCTTAAGACAAAGACATGTTATTGGAGGGCTGTACAACCCAGAAACCCTTCAGGTGTTGCCCCTTAATCAGGCTGCAGAAAAAGACCTCGAACCAGATGTTGTTAGATGTCTCAGAGATATTCATATACCAGACGTTCTCTACAACATGAATCCATCTGGTACCCCATCACTAAACAGACTAAGCTGGGGCTCCACTAGCTCCTCTCCACCACCTCTATCATCTCCTCTATCATCCTTCACATGGGAATCTTCACTAACTGATAGAGTTGATCATAAAGACCAAGCCCAACACAAGCTCCTCTTTCACCTCATGACTCACAGTTATGTAGATGCACATTTTGGAAAGCGGTTGGTGCTGCTCGACAACGATCTCCTTCAGTTGGCTAAAACAACTGGTTTCACTGCAGTAGAATCAGTTCAAGAAAATAAAGAAATTTCCAGTTTAGAAAGTAAGATGCCTTCAATGACACCCAGAGAAGGAGAGGATGATGAAAAGGAAGCAACAAAGCACCAAGACAAGGTTGTAGTTGAAACTGTTTCCCAAGTTCCATCAGTGGAAGATGTTAACAGTCAGAGAGTGCAAGAAAATATACCAACGCTTAAGGAAAATAAAGACTTTAATCTGTCAGAGGTTCAAGAAATCAAAGTTACAGAAGTTTCACCAGCAAATTCAGCAAAGATGCAACAGCATGTACTTGATGCAGACCGTGACGACAAGCACTCGGAGATGGTAGTTGATGGCGAACAATTGATGGAGGAGTCCCAGGACGATACTGAGTTGGAGAGATTAGTCCTTCAGCTCAAACAGGGAGGTTTAATGACAGAGGAAGGAGAGAAGCTGCTGCCAGATGAAGCTGTAGCTCAGGGCGTCCTTCCTGGCCATACAGCAGTTAAACTGATGGCTCAGGCTGGCCTGTTTGGGGGATTCTTGGATGCCACCAGCGGGGAGTCACTGAGCTTGGAGGAAGTCATGCAGGAGGGTTTATTAGATGAGGATCTCATGTGGAGTGTCCTGAAGTCAGATAAAACCCTTGCAGGTGTTGTAGATGTAGAGAAAGGTCAGATTCGTGGGGTTAGGGATGCAGCTCAGGCTGGGCTTATTGATCCCAACACCGCCGCTCGACTTTTGGAAGCTCAGGTTGTATCTGGAGGGATTGTTGACTTGTGCAGGGATAAGAAAGTCTCTGTGACTTTAGCAGCAAACATGGGTCTGATCGAAGAAGGGCAAAGGGAGGAGCTGATTGCACTTGAAAAAGCATTCAAAGGAAAGAATACAGACTCGGCTACAAGCCTCAGAAAAGCCAGTTTACAGCTACAGATGGAGGGTGTTGTTGATCCAGAGTCCAAGTCTGTGGTTCCCTTAGAACAAGCAATTAAGAAAGGGCTGATTTCATCTGATGAGGCGTATCAGGTGCTTGCAAGACAGGTGGCTGAAGGTGGAATAATCCACCATGCTTCAGGAATGAGACTCTCCGTTTCTGATGCTGTAGATAGAGGACTAGTGGATCGGTCCATAGCTCCTGGGCTTGAGGAACTAGAATGGATCTATCGAGGAAAAGTCAGTCCTTCAAGTAACCCAGGGGCAATTGCTTTCCAGGCAACAACTGGAGCTGTTTTAGACCCTGAAAATGGTGCTACACTGACCCTGACAGAGGCTGTGTCCAGGGGACTTCTTGATGAATCCATAGCCACCGAAGTCATGGCTTCCCCCACTCTAACACAAGGAACCATTGACCCAAAAGCTGCACAGATTGTGCCTTATTCAGAGCTTGTGTATCAGGGCAAGATAGATATTGAGACGGGGAAACGCTTCTTGGAAGTGAGGCCATTCCAAGGTGTTCAGGATAAAGAAACCTTGGAAATCCTGACCCTTCCTGAGGCAGTTGCTTTAAAGCGGGTTGACCCAGTTCCAGCTGTGAGGCTGCTCCAGAGCCAGGCAGACACCGGTGGGATCATTGATATCAGGACCGGAGAACGGCTTACTCTGCCTGAAGCTTCTGCCAGAGGTTTAGTAGTTGGTAATATGGTCAAAGAGATAGCCATCAATCAGTTTGTCAAAGGAGGCTTAGTTGATCCAGCGACTGGACAGCGTGTCTCAAATCTTAGTGATGCCATTGCTCTCCAGCTGGTAACTAGAGACCTGGCCTCAGAGATCCAGGAGAAAGTACAGGAAAGTTTGACTAATAAACCCATCATAGCTACAGGGTTAAGCAAAAAGACTTCAGAAAACCTTTCTGCTATGGAGGCTAGGGCATCCTCAATAGCTCCATGCTCTGTAAAACGATTAGAAGGCAAGCAGGATCATGGCAAAACACCGAGAAGTGACATTTTAGATCAGTCAAGTGTTGAGGTAGCAACAGAAAAAGAATCAGTGGAGGTAAAGTCTTTCACACAGCCTGATCAATCCATGGATATGTTATCCAAGTTTGCATCTAATGTTGAGAAAAGAATCCGGCTAGCCATTGATGAGATAATGCCACAAAAAGACAACAGTGAACTGGATAATCTTCTCCAACAGGAAACCAGTGACACGGTGCAAGACGATTACAAAGAAAGAGAAAACATAATCACTGACTCTGTTAGAGAATCCACCCAGATGCTTATTGATTATAATCAAAAGGACTCAAAGATAGAGGTCCAAAATGAAGACGGGAAACAGCCAGAGAAAGATCAGGATGCAGACTTTGGAGCAATGGAGAACACAGTCCTGGTCCATTCTGTTTCTGAAGATGGGAAATTATCTGAAATTACAGTCGACAGGGAGGACAAAGGTCCTCCTGCATTACCAGTGGTGAATGAGGATGTTAAAGAAGACCGTTCTAAGACCAAAACCAGCACAGATGTGGAGCACTCAGCTCAGGTATTGTCTTCCACTAGTAAAGAGTCGGTCAACAAAAGCAAAAAGAAGAGGAAGAGTAAAAAGAAGGTAAAGGGAAAAGATGACGAAAATGAAACTCATCTTCAAGAGATTGAACCCAGAGATGAAACTGATCAAACCAGTCCAGGAATCCCACGGGGTGCTCAGATCACATTAGAGGAAACTCTAACTAAATCAGTCCTTTATCAATCCCCCAAAGATCCTTCAGCTGAAGACACACAAGAAAAGTTTGCTGAGAAACCAAAGACTGAAAAGGTTTTAGCTGAAAATAAACAAGAGGTTGTTTCTCATCAACCAAGCTCTCAGGTGGAGACCGATACAGCTGAAAAGATGTCATATAAGATTCCAGAAAATGTTGGGAACACGGGAGATGTGAAAACAAAGGAGGAAGAGCACAAAGAATCCACAAAGAAAACTATGAGCGCAAAGCGAATTAATGAACCGGTTATAAAGCTCCCATCTCAGACAGATGAAAACCACCCAGAAATAACACAGGTGGACACAGAAGAAAGCAGATTAAAACAAAATCATCAGGAATCAGTTTCTTATGATCCTTCAGCCACAACTGAAACTAGGAAGGATGAGACTGAAAGACCCTTGGTTGGCATGCAGCGGGACGTTGTTTCTACTCCACCAAGCTCTCAATTGGAGAAAGGTGCAACTGAAATTATGTTAGTTGATGCGATGAATGATGCCATGAGGGAGGGGGATAAGAAAGGGCAACCCAAGAGGGTTTTAACTGAAAAACAGTCAGAAGAACTAAACATGACTCACCCATCTCAAACTGTTCAGACTGGTGTAGACATATCAGAGATGCAGCAGGTTTCTCCTGTAGACGGAGAAGAAAAAACATTTAAGAAAAACCTACGGGCGGTCAGCTCTTATGATCCTCCATCTCATAATGACCCACACTCTGAAGAGAGAACAGAAAGGATTGAAGGGACAGTTAAGACCAAGAAAGGTTTGGGTAAACAGGAGCAGAGGGTTGGTTCTTTTGAACAAAATATTCAGATGGAGAAAGATAAAGCCAGTACAGCTCTAATTAGGCCTGCTGAAACCATAAAACAGGAAGATGGAGGGATATCGACCAGGTTTCTAAATGCGCAAAAAGACGAAAAACCAACTGAGACTGATCAAGAGAGTCCAGAAGGGCCACATGTATTTCCGGTTGACACATTTGTTGAGAAGATACCAAAATCCAACACTAATGGCCTTTCAGAATCTGCCCAACCTCACTTTGGAGAAGGCATGGAAAGGACTGGTGGGAAAGCTGAGACTGTCTGTGTTTTGGTCGAACAGGAGCAGGAAGAGATATTTCTTGGACGAGGTGTGGAGATGAAGAAAGATGCAGCAAACATGGCCTCGCAGAAGACCCAACAAAAGGTTTATGAGGAGGAAGACATTGAAAGGGAATCTATGAAGACTTTACTGGCACAAGCACATGAGAACAATCAGGGCATGAATGAGAGCGAGGAAAAGGAATCATGTCAAAAATCAGCTCTTAAAGATGACGAAAAAGCAGCCTTGATACTGAAAGCAAAAGAAAGCATTTTGAAGAAGGTGTTTGAAAAAGGAGTGAGTGAAAAGCAGGCAGCTCGAGAGCTGGAGGCACTGAGGCAGAAGGAGGTGAGGAAGAAGCAAAGTAAGGGTATGACTGAAGGTGATAAGAGTACAGAAACCAAGAGAAACTCTGGTTTACCGAAAGACTGTGACAACCAAGGAACTACTGAAAAGGACACAGTGGAGCTGGAGAAATGTCCTACAGTTATTCTTTCATCTCAAGAAAACCTGGGAGGTAAACCCACAGAAACATCTTTAGGTGAAAAGAACACTGACCAGAAAGATGCTGGGGCTCTCCCTGCAGGCTCTAGAAATAAAAGAAGCAAGAGGAGCAAGAAGCTCCGAAGTCTAACGTCAACTGGAGATGAGCCCGTGATGGAGAAGGTATCCATGGATCTGAAAGATGCAACCAAATCAGCTGCAGATCCAAAGTTAGACAGCGCAAATTTGGCTAAAGACCCGAGAATTTGCCTCGATACTGAAGGCCGCTCGGCCGATGGCAATGTCAAGAAGCCCAAGAGTCTAAAACCAAAAACTGAGAAAGAAGGACTAACTGCAGTTGGGGAATCTGATTCTGGCCCAAAAGATCCAAAGATTACCTCAAAATCTGCTTCTAATCAACGTTCAGAAAGCAGAGTTTTGTCTGAAGACCTGAAGTCGAGCGCTGATACTGACCGGTCAGTTGGTGCCACTGCCAAGAAGCCCAAGAGTCTAAAACCAACTAAAGCTCAGCCTGATGGGAAGAGGGTACCCACAGATTGTATGGAACAAAAAAATACGACAAATTCTGCTGCAGAGGCTGAATCCAATGGCACAGTTTGTGTCGAAGGATTAAAAATTAAAGGCAGTACTGATGATCAGTCATGTGGTGCAGCTACCAAGAAGCCTAAGAGTCTAAAACCAACTGAAGATCAGCCTGATAGGGAGAAGGAAACAGTGGAGCTGAAAGACACAAAGAATGCAGCAAAATCAGGTACAGGGGCAGAGTCTGACGGCACAGTTATGGCCAAAGACCTGAATGTTAAAACTGATACTGATGATCAGTCAGATGGTGCAGCTACCATGAAGCCTAAGAGTCTAAAACCAACTGAAGATCAGCCTGATATCAAGAAGTTGACCCCAGATGGAAAAATGGATTCTGACCTTAAGGATTCAAAACTTTTCTTAAAATGTTCATCAAAACAACCATCAGAAGGCAGCGCTGATGCTGATGATGAGCCCTTCATTGACCCTGCAAGGCCTACAGATTATGGCAAAGCCGGCAAGGAGGACCTCCAGGTGCCTAAAGGTATTCAGAAAAGTCAGCTAAAACAAGCTGCAGACCTGAATGAATCAACAGATTTATCTCTTGAAGGTGTCAATAAAGACGACAGAAAACCCTTAGGTCAGTCTGTTGCTCCTGATTCACAATCTGTAAAAAGTAAAAGAAAGAAAAAACAGCGCCCACTTGAAGCTGAAAGCTTTGATGTTCCTGAATCTCTTACAAGCCCACAGCAAAATCTGGATTCTCCAGAAACAATAGTTTCATGTAAAGATGCTTCAGCTGAATCGGAATCACCCAAAGTAATGGAAGCTGATCCAAACGCTGAGAGCTTAGAACAAGAAAAGGTCGAGGAGAACCAAGACGCCACTTTGAACAAAGAGGGAGCAACATCCACAGGAAGTAGGGTAAGGCAAAAATTTGTGCAATAAATTGCAGGAAAAATACACATTAGTGTTTAGATGTAAAAATAGGAATGTTTTATCTTCCTGCAGTCGTCGTCTTTGCGCCAGGAATGCCTTGAACACGATCAGCGAATCGTAGCCCTGCTTTCCGCGGTCCGACACATTGAAGTCCGCCTGAAACAGCAGCAGCAGCAGTCTGCGGGTCGCAGCCTCGTCACCTTAGACGACATCATCAGCCGGACTGAGGTAACGTTTCCAGCTTAACATCCCCAACAACCGGACCTTTATGCTCTGCTTTAGTATTTTACTGGGTTCCCATATTTAGACAAACCTTACAGGAATTAGAGCGAACCAGAATCAATCAAACGTTTGTTTTCCTTCTCTAATCTTCACGCAGATGATGGACCTTGAACTCTCCGGCTTAGAGCCTGAAATAAGCAAAGAAGTTGAAGCTGCAGAGCGACTGTTGAGACCCAGACCTTCCGACGTTCCTCCACAGCTCCTACTGGCCTTGGAAAAAGATGGGCGGAGCTTATCTCGCGGATACGAGGCTGCCCGGACGCTCTCAGAGAGCATCCTGCTAAGCCTGCGACACCACAGGGACTCATGCAAGGTAGGAGAGTCAGAGACGTCCCCATGAAAGCCTCAGCAGATGCTGGGATGCTGAGCAGTCGGGTTTCAAATCTTTCAGGATGCAGTAACAGCAGAGCAGAAATCTCTGGGACAGCATGTGGACAGGCTGTTGTCTTGGTTGAATGAGACAGAGGCTCAGTTGGACGGAGGAGCAACGGAGATAACGGAGGGAGAGGACGGCCAGGCTGAGCTCACACAGCAGCTGAAGCTCTGCAAGGTGATCTCATTACAAACCTTTAATATAAGAATATGTTTCTGTTCTGAGCCGAAATCTAAAATTCTCTAACTGACACAAATATACTAGCCTGACGTAGTCCGACTCAATTCTAGTCAGAATATGAGTCTGATACTGCTCCATAGAGCTGTGATTATGGGGCGTGTTTCGAACGAACCAGGAAAAAAAAATGCCTCTGCACTCAATTGGATAGACCTACAACCAATAAGAGCAACGGAGTGCGTGACGTATGTTAAGCCACGCATAGTTGTTGTCCACAAAAATCAAAGCGTGCAGTTGCACGCCTAGAATAAGAAGATGAGACTTGATCGCGTTTCTCTGTTCCTCTTTTAAAATTAATTTGCTGTCGATATCTTCTAGAACAGACCTAATAGCAGAATCTACTCACCTAAACTCTCCAGCGGCAGCCATTATTGTTGTTACCCAAGCGCGCATTGGTGACGTGGTTGATTACGTTACTGTTTGTCATCTGTCCATCATCGTATAAAGCCCGCCCTGACAATTTGATTGGATCGCCTGACAGTGGGCGATAATACTCGCGCTACTATGGAGCAGAGCCAGACCGAATTTCCCCGACCTCAAACTTTGTGGGCGGGACTAAGTTCGGAATGGCACCCAGGCTACAAATATACTAGAATTTTGAAGAGTTTATGCATCTAATCTTTAGGACGTATAGTCTTTAATTTTTCACCTATTATAGAAAAAAGATACTATTTTTCAACCCAGATACTCTAAAAGGGCATAACATTTAGACCATGGGATTATCTCTGCACCATTATGAGGCATTTAGGGAAAACCTGAAGATATGCAAGTCTGATAAAGGAAGTATGGTGGTTCACAGAACGTCCAAAGCTGCAGTGGTTCAGAATAAAGTTTATTGCCAAGTAGGTTTGCACTTACAAGGATTTGACTTGGTGTTGATGGTGTAGACAAATTATATACATATATATATATATATATATATATATATATATATATATATATATATATATATATATATATATATATATATATATATATATATATATATATATACCCGATTGCTCCCACAATGGAAGCCCACTGCTCCCTAACAGAATGGGTTAAATGCTGAGGTAAATTTCTCCAATGTGAGCTCATTAAAGTCAAATTATTCTAATTATTATGACGTTTAGTGCATCTGGGCTGCAGGCTGGTTATGCTGAACCGTACCAACCACTGATAGAACCAACATAGGACAGAGAGGCAGCAGACACAGAGTTCTGGATTAAAAAAACGTGGTTCTGAAAACAGACCTTAGAGGAAAGATGGCAGCAGTAGGCATTATAGAAAGAAAGCAAGTAGATGGAGGAAGATCTGCTGGTTCTGCTGCTCTGACTCTTTGACTAGTGATTATATTGTTCCGCCCTAATCAAGATATTTTTTACACCTTTCCAAAATGAAAACATTTCCAGCCCTCCTGATTTGTCCTTTACTTGGATTAAACATGTTAAACGTTATTTTCTTTTTGGTTTAAAGGAGCAGCAAGTTAACGAGTCCTGAACTTTTCTAATTTTCCTTTTGCTCGTGGTTCCCTGAAGGAGCTCCAGTCTTCACTGTCGACTTGCTCCAGCGAAGTCAACAGCCTGGTCTCAGACATCCAGCTGTTCATCTGTGAGCGCGCTCAGGACCTGGCCCCCGAGCAGAGCAGGCAGCTTCTGGGGCAGCTTCAGCAGCTGCAGACGGCCTTCCACCGAGCATCGGGCCGAGCTCAGGCCCGGGCCGACGCTCTGTCCGCTCAGCGGAGCAGGGAGGAGGAGAGGCGGCGCAGGGAGGAGGAGGAGAAGGACAGAGAGAGGAAAAGTGCAAAGGAGAGAGAGGTTTGGAAGGAAATGATGGGGTTGTTTTTGCTTTTGCCTGAGTTTGATTCACATAATGCTTTCATACTTTAGATTTAACCCACTAACATCCACCATAGTGTGAACACAGATACAATCTAAGCTTGTCTTCTTTTCTTTGGAGTTATGTTAAGTGGAGTCCATGAGAGCGCAGAATAAGACCGCTGATTAGAAAATCATAGAAACGTTTGTTTCCTTAAAGCAGCAGCCGTTTACTCTTAGATCACTGCTCTCAACTGATGATATGCAAGAGTTGCTACCTCCGGAAAAATCTGAAGTTCTTTGGTAGTTTCAATGTCGATGTCGAGCAGGAAAGGTGCTGCCTTCTGCAAAGACTTGAAAAGATATCTGTCGATGCCTTTCAGTCTTAGGTTATAAAGTGATTTCTAAACCAGCAGTTTCAGGAAAGATGGTGAAAAATTTTAGGATCTTTCCAGAAATGATCGAACAGTTTTACCTCGATGTCAGAGTGTGAAGCTCTGCTAAAGGAAATTACCAAAAAGCAAAGAGATTCAGCTAAGACTCTTTGGTTTGGAGTTGAAAAGGTAAAAATGGACTGAACTGAAACTAAAACAATATGGCAGCAGGTCTTAGCAAAGCTGCATCTGAATGAAGGAAAAGAATTCTAGAACAGCTTTCTTTGGACAGATGAGACCAAAGAGGAGAATAATAATAATAAAAATAATAACAATCCAATATCAGAGGCAACTGAACAAAACTTTGCAGCCTCAATAGCTGCCATGCACAGTGGAAGACCACTCATGATATGGGCTTCCTTTTCACCTTATAGTTACTGAGTCATGAACCCCCCCTTATGTCAAGTATTCTCCAGTCACAGGATTATGCAGTGGTCTAGTCAAAGTCCAAAAATCGACTTTAAAATCCATAGAGACAGGGCGAGCTTTGGTGGTACAGCGGTTAGCACACACGACCCATGAGGGGAGGCCTTAGTCCTCGACGTGGGCGACTCGGGTTTAAATCCGGCCAGTGGTTTTTTTCCCGCATGTCACCCTCCCTCTCTTATACCAGGGTTCCCGCGGGTCCTTAAAAAGTCTTAAAAGGCATTGAATTCTTCAAAATAAATCTAAGGCCTTAATTGGTATTAAAATGTCTTAAATCAGTCTTTCGTAGGTCTTAATTTTTAAAACATCATCAATAGGATTATTTTTATTACGATTTATTTTTGTAATCTAAATAAAACTTTAAAATGGACCTTTTTTTTTTTTTTTATAAAAAAAAAAAATGGCTCTTCATTATTGGTTCCGTCCCGATAGCGGAACCAACAAAGCGTTTTTGTGGCCGGGACATTTGGGAGATGCACCATTGACTTTTTGTCTGTAAAATATGAGCAAGTGTAAATGTAACCAAAATTGTCTCCAGCCAAGAGTTTTCTCCATGGCTAAAACCAGGGAACATACATGAGACTCAGTGGATTTTATGCAAGAAGCGATTCAAGCTCAGAACGATGGGAATTAAGGCAGTGGAGTCGCACATGCGAAGCGCGAAACACAAAGCGTCAAAATGGAGTTACTGAGAAACAGCCGGTATTTCTCAGTTTAGTTCCACCCTTGTCTCTGCAACGCCTCCACTTATCACCAAATCAAACATACTAAGAAAACAATACAAAGAAAAATAGCTGCAAAAAAGACTTAGCACTGGTTATGTTGTGGCTTTAAAACTGATTTGTTTTGTTCCCTGCTAAAACAAAGTTTGTGAATTCAGTTAAATAATTGTTAAAATATATCTGTCATTTGTGTGTTTTTAGCTTTCTTCCTGTATGGGAAGCTTTTCAAAATTTGAAACATTAGTGCAGTGGTTTATGTTAAAATAAACCTTTGGGTTAAGTTGTCGCAAGCAGGTTTTTCTTGTTTTTCTTGTGAATTTGGTCTTAAATTTTTATTTCAAGTGGCATTAAAAAGTCTTAAAAAGTCTTGAATTTAACTTTCCTTATGCTGTAGGAACCCTGTATACCCATAATCCATAGAGACAGCTGTGAATATTCAAAGTTCTGGTTCCTCCAACTGTTTCCTTTCCACTAAAACCTGCTGCTGCAGCTGCTCACTCTGACGCCTCAGACTCTTGATGCTGATGTGTTTTTGGTTTTTTTTTTTGCTCCTCTGCATGTCTTTATAAAGTGTGTTTTATTAACCTGTTTGCATTGCTCTTCCAGATCCCCACAGAAGAAAATCGCTTGTGTCACCGCGGTAACAACTACCAAAAAAAAATGCAAAGCAGTCTGTCTGGCTAAAGCGCTTCTCCGTTCTTCCTCCTGCCTCGCTCCAAACGCCGAGGAGGAGGAAAAACGGCAAATAAACAAATACATGTTTGATTTTCTCTGTTTTATGTTATGTTTTGATGGGAAGTTTTGTTTCTGTCAGTGTGTGTGTGTGTGTGTGATTTCTGGACACAATCTGCTCAAAGCTTGGCCAAAGTGTGCACGTCACACCAGTTCTCTTTGGCTAGAAAAGTTGAGGATATGGTGAAAATTTTTAAATGCTGGTGGCGCCCTCTGCAGGTTGGATTTATGTCAGAGTTCCTCACGTTCTCTATCTCTGGTTTCCTGCTGCCTCGTCTCTCTCAGGTGGTCCAACAGCAGAAAGCAGAGTGCTCTCAGAAACTGGAAGGTCTCAACATGTGGTTGGCCGGAGCTGCAAGCCTGCTGGCCAATCAGAGAGCTGGAAGAGAGTCAGGTGATGTCAGCGACCTGCAAGAGAGACAGAAAAAACTAAAGGTGAAGTTTGAACGCACACATGAACCTCAGTGATGTTTTGCTGATTAACTAGTTTGAGTTAATGTCATTTATAATGTTATATGATATATTTCCTGCTCAAGGAAGTGCAGAAGGACCTGCAGTCTAAAGCTGCAGGTGTTGCTGAGGCCATCCGGTCTGTGGAGGAGTTTCTGGCAGAGAAAGGAGAAAGTCTGAGCCCAGAGGAGAAGAAGAACCTTCAGATGGCGCTGGAGAGACTGAAAGAGCAGTACGGCGCCCTGACCGACTCTGCAAATACGTCCCTGTCAGAGCTGGATACAGCCATCAGTACGACTGTCCAACAAAACACCCAGAGAGTGAGTCCTCCCCCTCCACGCTTCCAAGCTGATGATTTTTGTTTGACTTTTTTCTCCTCACATTCGTTATCTCTGCACCAAACCCAGTGACTGATTCATATCCATTTATTTCTGCTCTGATCTCCAGGCTAAAGCGGTGGAAGAACTACAGGAAACACAAAGCCAGATAGACTCCCTGCTGAACTCTCTCTCATCATTTAACAAACCCGATCAGGTCGGAGCAAACCTGGATGTGGTGGATTCTGCTTTCTCACAGCCAGAGGGCGCTGTGGTGTCGCACACAGAGATGCTGCAGGTAAGGATCTGTAAGGATCTGTTGAAGGTTTGATGTTTTTAACCATCATGCCTCATGATGCCTCATCATTCCTCGCAGTCGGAGCTCCAGCAGCTCCAGGCTCAGCAAGCACGGCTGCTCCAGGTAACCCAGGCTACGCGCTCCCTGCTGGACCAGCCGGACTCCACGGTTCCCCCCGAGGAGAAGCAGCGGCTGCGGGCTGCCCTGGACCAGCTGCAGGCCCAGCACCATGACAGGCTGCAGAGCTGCCAGGTAATCACACCTTTCTCCATTACTTTAATTAGCTTTATCCTAACTATTATATACGGTGGCCGGGAGGTGCAAACCAACATTACAAAATCTAAAAAAAACTTCCAAAAGTTCCAAAACAAATGATCATTTCAGAAAACAAATTTACATAAAAAAAAAAAATATATACTTTTACAAGTTCCAAAACAAATTATCATTTCAGGAAACAAATTTACTTAAAAAAAAAAAGCGCGCATTGCAGCCCGAGAGGCGAATCTGACCATTTTCATGGCGCTCCTGATCATTTCTCGGTGAAAACAGCTCATATAATCATGTCAGCATTGTAACATTCAATTTAACCGGTTGCTCTTTTTACAAATTTGTTAAATAAATACATTAACGAAGTCTTCTTACGCTGTTTTGTGTTGTTTTTTTTTTTACCGCCAAGAGAATCTGTATTTCTCCAACTTTTGTCCTGTGTGATATGTTCTAGTATAACATATCACACATATCAATTTTAGAGAAACTGGAAACAGTTGCTCTTTATTTCCCAAAGATGTGGGAGGAGGAGAGGAGAGAATGGATGTTTCAGCTGAATGAAATAATCTGCTCCCCTCCATAACATGGGAAGAAATGAATGTACCTGCAAGTCTTTAACTGTACTTATTCCTCTCTTCATCAACAACAAATCCTGTAGATTTGGTCATATTTACTCTTTATTTGCAAAAATTAAAGGAGGGGAACCATATATTTCAGCTGCCTTGAAATTGGTCAGATTTTTTAGATTTTATAATGTTGGTTTGCACCTCCTGGCCACCGTAATTATATCCATATATAGAACAACACCAAAATAGCAACTTTAAACGCTATCTTTGTTTTTTTTACATTTAGTTTTGTTCGTTTTTTTAACAAGTTATTGTTTTTTATCGTTTATTTCCTAGTTTATTTTTTAAATTTGTTATTGTTATATCTGTTTATGTGGAAAAAAATGTATTCAGAATATATGATTTATGATAAAAAGATAAAAATACCAAATCAAAATGATAAAGTAACAAAATCATCCTAGTTAAAAATTTAAATGTCGTAGTTTGATTGACAAAAGTTAGAAAAACATCATAAAATAGATGCAAAAATCTGAAATATATTAGAAGTCAATTTCTTTAACAAAAGAATAAATATTAGATGGATTAAGTTTGTTTATTCTATTCTTTCTAAGACATTTATTTATTGTTCAATTACAGATAACTAGATTAATTACAAACCTTTATATTGATTAATATATAGAATATCTTAGTTAATGAGTTGTTAATTGGTGAATAAACAATTTATTGCTATGTTTTTATTTGAAAATATATTATTTAAAGTTCATTCACCTTATTTTTTCTTAATTTTGCTTCACAAACATCAATTTAAAAAGTATTTTAAACTTATAAGTTAAGAGAAGAAATTTACAATTGAAAACTATATACAGTATAGGTACTTGAAAGACCAGAAACATAGATATTAGTTTTAAATAAAAGTTATGGTGTGAAAAAATGTATGACTGTAACTTAAATGGATTTTAATCAAACATTTCTGGTTCTAGGAGCGTCTGAGGAAGTCGGAGGCTCTGAAGGATGAGCTTTCCAAATTCCTGCAGGAGCACGGGAACCTGGGTACTTGGCTGGAACAAAGTGAGCAGGACATGCGTTCCCTGGGGGAAGGAGAAACCGACGCACAGGGCCTGAAGGACAGGCTGGAGGAGCACAGAAAGGTGCAGCAAAGATTATAATAATCAGAGATGGCAAAAGTACTCACTTTCCGTACCTGAGTAAAAGTACAGATACTTGTGTTAAAAAATACTCTGGTAAAAGTGGAAGTACTGATTAAACTTCTTTACTCAAGTAAAAGTAACAAAGTACAGGCTTGTTACTTAAAGTATAAAAGTAAAAGTAGAAACCATTTTTTTCATGCCGTTGCCTACATTTTAAATGGATGTCTGCCAATAGGACTAGATCTCCGTTGTGTTCATTTTCAATCATCTCGTCGTCCATGCTACTATGCTAACGCCACTGCCACCAAGCTGCAATGATTTGCCGCCAATGAATACCGCCGAATCTGTCGATTCATCTTGTAGTGGTGCGTCAAATGCAACGTAGATTCCCATCCAATTAGATTGAATTTGGTATTGATGACGTGAAAAATAATAACGGTAACTCCATTGAAATGATTCAAAACTAAAGTATCGAGCCAATTTTTAAAAATGTAAGGAGTAGAAAGTACAGATATTTGTGTAAAAATGTAAGGAGTAGAAGTAAAAAGTCGCCATAAAAATAATTAGTAAAGAAAGTAGAAATATCAGAAAAATCTACTTGAGTACAGTAACGAAGTATTTGTACTTCATTACTTCCCATCTCTGATAATAATACTAAACCAAAATCTTCTTTTTCCACACTTAAAGCTGCTCAGAGAGAAATACTTTGAAACTCTTTCAATAGAAAAGGTTTCTGTTGCTTTAAAGGAACTAAAGGAGCTGATAAATATGCTGTTATTAACGTCACAGAGCTCCATTCTGGGAGGATTTCCTTCTTTAATCATCCATGTAGAAAGAATTAGAATCTATTAACCATCTCTAGACTATCACGCTTTTCCATCTAAGCTTCCCATAGAAGCTCCAGCCTAGAAGTTCTGGTTAAAAGGTCTCCGGATGTAAATGTTTGTTTTCCCACAGAGATTCCTGGGCCTTCTGCTCATAAAGATGTTTTCCTGTTGAATTCAACAAAGAACACGTCGATTGATCTGAATGCGTTCCTTTCCAGCTCAGCGAGGACGTGATCTGCCACAAGGCCGACCTTCGCTTTGTTTCCATCTCCGGTCAGAAGGTTCTGGACTCGGTTCAGGGAGCTTTGGAGCAAGCCAAAGGTTCTGATCCGTCTCTGGAAGGCATCAAACAGCTGGTGTCTGACAAGCTGCAGGACGCCAACCACAGATACACCACCCTCCACACCAAGGTGAGGAGAAGCGCTGAGATCTTCCCCTTCGCTTTGAGTCGGTTTTCTGATGTTTGATGTTTGTTGCTCAGTCGTCAGAGCTGGGCGGCCGCTTGTCCGGCCTGTTGGAGCGGTACCAGCAGTACCAGGATGAAGTGGTCTCCCTTCATTCCTGGCTCAGCACTCATGAACAAAACCAAAGCGTCACCAAGTCCAGCAGTGACACCGACCCGCAGAACCTCCAGGACGCGCTGCGACAAGTTCAGGTGGTGAATGCGCTCCTTCACAGAAATAAAGAGCCGTCTGTAGGTCGGTGATGGATGTTTGGATGTTCTGTGTCTGCAGCTGCTGCAGGACGAGCTGGCCGAGCGCTCGGTGCAGCTGGAGAAGGTGAAGAGAGCAGGAAGAGATCTGGTCAGCACCGAGGAATCTCCGTCTCTGAAAGCCGTGGACATCCTCTGCGCCGCAGGTGGCTTCATCTCTCCGACGGTGACTCTTCTCACAGCTTTCAGATTTACTGATGCAATGTCTCTGCTGCTCTCCCACATCAGACGGGTTGGAGAAAAGATTCGGCAGCCTTTCTGCGTCCGTCTCCGAGCGAGCTGAACATCTGCAGACGGCTGTGGCTCAGTCTGTGAGCGTCCAGGAGGGCCTGAAGGGTCTGCTCAGCTGGCTGGACAAGCTGGTTCTGAACCCCAGACCAGTGAAACCCACAGCGCTGGCTGTGCAGGATGCTCTGACCCAGAACCAGGTAGGGATAATCAAAGCTACTTTAATAATTTTTTCTTACTGACTACTTTGTTGAATTTTTTTTTCCTTTTTCCAGAAACTTCGGCAGGAGCTGCTCTCCAGGCAGGGCAGCGTGGAAGCAACCCGCGACTCCCTCTCCAAGCTCCTGCAGAGTTCTGATGCGGCTACAGCACCGGGCCTCCACGGCAGCCTGGACGAACTCACCCAGCGATACACCGCAGCCCAGACCATCCAGGCGGAGCGGGAAGCAGAGCTCAAAGGGCTGCTGCCCAGACTGGAGAGCTACGAGCGGCTGGGGACCGACCTCCAGGCATTTACCCAGAGCAGACTGAAGGCCCTGAGCCCGGTGGGCCAGCCGGACCGCAGCATGGGCGACTACAGACAGACCATCGAGGTCAGCAGAGCGCACGCACGACATCCACACAATCGAAACTTTTACATTGTTCTTACTTTTCCTCCTTTGCACGCTTCCAGGAAGTAAAATCTGAGCTGGAGCAGGAGACGGGCCAGCTGAAATCCTTCTGCAACCTCGGCACCGAGCTCAGCCAATCCAGAACCCTCAGTGATACTCAGAGTCTGCTGGATAACGTCAAAGGTGTGACTGAAGAGTTCACCAAGCTGGAAGAAAACGTCAATGAAAGGTAAGAAGGGGAAAAAAGTTTGCTTATTACACAAGGGGGCGCTAGGTAGCCATCAAACTGTCATCTTAAAAACTGTTTAAAGGAGAAGTCATTTCAGCAAGAAAATTATCAATCGATCACATCTGCAATCAACAACAATTATTGAAGATTTCCAGAGGACATCACCATTGAAATTCACCAGAGCTATAGTGAAACTGACAATGCCCACGTGCATGGCAGCTGGATGCTGGAATACATCGGGTAAAAGTGAAAATAAAGAGTTATTCCACCTTTCTGATTCCTGATCCTCCACGGACGGGTTGGTCGTTGGATCGCCAACTTGAAGAGGGAGGATTTGCCATCGAACTTCTGGCCAGAGAAAAAACCCGTAATATGTAGCCAACATTTGGAAGAAGAATGTTTTCAAGATGACTTGGATAATAGCGCGTTGTGACAAACACCAGATACAGCACTGGGACTTGATCAACAGCCGATACCGCACCGTGACGTCACTAACCAGTAGGTGGCAGTAGTGTTCTTTGACAAACATGGATGCCTCCAGTAAAGCACATTCACATGAAAATTACTCTGAATTAAAAACACTTTATTACTGAACAGTATGTAATAATTTCATATTTAAAGTACTTTCAGAAGTTTGAATTCTGAATATGAGCGAACTTCTCTTTAAAGGCATACAGCAGGTGTTGGATGTTTTTAAGAAAAAAAAAAACCTTCTGAATCTGGAGGACTGGGTCTGAAAATCAGCCCGACATTTCTACAATCTGCTCTCTACCTCTGCAGCCTTCATCAAACAGCGGTTGCCATGCCAACCCTGTTTGACGGCATCTCAAGGAGGCATTTATAAATACCAGCATTCTCCTTCAGATGTATTGGATTAGATTTCTGTGTACGGAGGCCATCATGTGAACTCAGTCGGCAGCCGACGGCTGAAGAAGAACCGGAGAAACATTTCTGTGTGTCATCAAGAGGCATGGATGCCGTTACACAGTTTTCCTTCACTGTGTGATTCTCAGAGCTAATATAAGCAGCGTGAACACGGCTCATTGTGCATCCTGTAAACGGCCCTCTCGGATAACTCGCTGCCTCGGATCCCAGAGGAGAGAAAATAGCAGCTCGATAATGATAGCTCTCCGCTCCAGACGGCTTCTCAGGGCTGTTTTGTCCACAAACACTCAGGACGAGTCTGGCTCATACTTTCACACACATTACCAACAAAGAGGCAGAGGTCAGGGCTGTGTTAGCGCCGCCTCAGGGCCTCAATGCTTCATACGGAGAAACACTGAATTTTTTCTTATGCGACAAGAATCTCTTGAGCCAGATGGAAAAAAGATGTCCTCAAAAACCCTTTCTGGGTTCTGTTTGCTGTTAGTTTGGCAAAACTATAAAATAGAAATAAAACAACTAAGAATAAACTTAACTTCGCCAATAATCAAAATCAGATTTTTTTTTTCAGTTTTAAGAGATTAAAACTACATTTAAAGTACAAAAAAAACATTTTTAGTCCAACAGAAAAAAAATTATTTATATGAGCGACAATGAAAAGACCATCATAAAAAATTGCATATAAATATTTATATTATTAAAGATACTCAAGGATGAAAAGGATGGATTAAAATATTTACAAAATCTTTCTTAGAATTTTGGTTTTTTTGCTTGTAACAAGAAATGTTTCACTAGTCATTTTTGTTTTTTCAGATTAAGTTTTGCTAATTGCATTTTGCGCACATTGACCAATAAAGTGGTTTTTTGCTAAAGTCCAGCAGAAAACAGTCTAACAGTAAAACTCAGTCTAAAAATGAATTGAAAAAATTATTTAAAAATTATTTAAAAATATATATATATTAAAAAATATATATCTTTTATCATGTAAAATCTGTAAAAACCAATTATAAAATTTGAAAAAATAAAATGTTAGATTAGAATAAAAAGAAAATTTCTTTGGAAAAAAAACTGAAAGAAACAGCAAATTTACTCAAACCTTTTTTTTTTTTAATAAAACGTTTTTCAACTTCTTGGCATTTTTTTCACTTTCAGTTAATTTTGCTTGTGACAATGTCATAACATTTAATGTATAGTTTTTAGTATTTTGATTCTGTACTTTAGTAAAAATCAACATTTCAACTCATCTGAGTCCTTCCTTCCTTCCTTCCTTCCTTCCTTCCTTCCTTCCTTCCTTCCTTCCTTCCTTCCTTCCTTCCTTCCTTCCTTCCTTCCTTCCTTCCTTCCTTCCTTCCTTCACTTTTAAGTTTTCCTTCCTTCCTTCCTTCCTTCCTATTAAGTTTTCCTTCCTTCCTTCCTTCCTTCCTTCCTTCCTTCCTTCCTATTAAGTTTTCCTTCCTTCCTTCCTATTAAGTTTTCCTTCCTTCCTTCCTATTAAGTTTTCCTTCCTTCCTTCCTTCCTTCCTTCCTTCCTTCCTTCCTTCCCTATTAAGTTTTCCTTCCTTCCTTCCTTCCTTCCCTATTAAGTTTTCCTTCCTTCCTTCCTTCCTTCCTTCCTTCCTTCCTTCCTTCCTTCCTTCCTTCCTTCCTTCCCTATTAAGTTTTCCTTCCTTCCTTCCTTCCTTCCTTCCTTCCTTCCTTCCTTCACTATTAAGTTTTCCTTCCTTCCTTCCTTCCTTCCTTCCTTCCTTCACTACTAAGTTTTCCTTCCTTCCTTCCTTCCTTCCTTCCTTCCTTCCTTCCTTCCTTCCTTCCTATTAAGTTTTCCTTCCTTCCTTCCTTCCTTCCTTCCTTCCTTCCTTCCTTCCTTCCTTCCTTCCTTCCTTCCTTCCTTCCTTCCTTCCTTCCTTCCTTCCTTCCTATTAAGTTTTCCTTCCTTCCTTCCTTCCTATTAAGTTTTCCTTCCTTCCTTCCTTCCTATTAAGTTTTCCTTCCTTCCTTCCTTCCTATTAAGTTTTCCTTCCTTCCTATTAAGTTTTCCTTCCTTCCTTCCTTCCTTCCTATTAAGTTTTCCTTCCTTCCTTCCTTCCTTCCCTATTAAGTTTTCCTTCCTTCCTTCCTTCCTTCCTTCCCTATTAAGTTTTCCTTCCTTCCTTCCTTCCTTCCCTATTAAGTTTTCCTTCCTTCCTTCCTTCCTTCCCTATTAAGTTTTCCTTCCTTCCTTCCTTCCTTCCTTCCCTATTAAGTTTTCCTTCCTTCCTTCCTTCCTTCCCTATTAAGTTTTCCTTCCTTCCTTCCTTCCCTATTAAGTTTTCCTTCCTTCCTTCCTTCCTTCCCTATTAAGTTTTCCTTCCTTCCTTCCTTCCTTCCCTATTAAGTTTTCCTTCCTTCCTTCCTTCCTTCCTTCACTATTAAGTTTTCCTTCCTTCCTTCCTTCCTATTAAGTTTTTATTCTAATTGAAGCCAGAAAAGACGTCTTAAAGCTGTTCAAAAGAATCCCTCAATATTACCTTTAGTAATAGCATTTGATCATATTAGCCACTCGGTTCATTTTCATAGGCTGTACTGAAGTTCACTACTTACTTCATTGACACATCAATTATTTCAGCTGCTGGGGTCATTTCCTCTAAGTTAGAAATGTTTTTCTCATTCTTGTTGCATCTGAAGTTTTGTTTTTCTTTAACCAGCTTCCCAGCCGAATCCTCAGTGTGGCTTATTTTTTATCATTTTAGGCAGCAGTTTATTGTTCCTTTTTAATGTGTTTGAAGGGAGTTTAGGTTTGTAATTTATTAGAGGATAATCAATGTTTCTGAACCTGAAAATGTTGCATTTCTGCATAAATGAAACGTGTGCAAAGATATTTTTTTCCCCCTCGTTTTTAAAACTCTTCCTATCTGTGTTTTTCCTCTCAGGTTCGCTGCCATCCAGGCCTGCGAGCAGCAGCTGCAGCACTTCCGCAGCCTCTCGGGCTCCCTGGTCCGCTGGCTTCAGACCGCTCAGGACCAGCTGCCCTCCAAGGAGGCCGGCCTGAACACCGAGGGTCTGCAGAGGAGGGTCCAGCAGCTCCAGGTGAGTCTGGGATGTTTCGCAACATTCCAGGTGTGACCACTGTTTGGGTGAGGAGGTGGAAAACTGAGGAGAAATCCTGTCTGACTTCAGGAGCTGCTGAATGAATGGGAATCACAAGGATCCAGAATCGGAGAGCTGAACAAGACCGGCTCCGAGTTGGAGTCTCTCATCATCGACGTGACGGCTCCTCAGACCAAAACCGGTAAACATTGACAACCTGAACTTAAACCGTGCTCCTGTTGGTCTCTGAGAGGGTCCTGCTCACCTGACTGTGATCTTCTCCAGGTGTTCCTCAGATCAACGGCTCTGCTGGTCCCAGCAGCCTGAACGGCATCCACACCTGTAAAGGTGAGCTCCCACCACAGCTGGATCCCCCGCAGCCTTAAACCCAGATCCGCAGACTTTGATTGATTCACAGATTTCCTTTCCAGGATGGAAAAAGTATTTATGAAAATAAAAATAAAATTCAGTTTTCTAGACTTCTTAAAAATCGAATAATTCCTCATAAAATACATTGGTTTTATATTAAAATAGACCTTGCCCTGTATTTGCCACATGGTATAATATTAACGTTTATCCATTGTTTGGTTTTCAGGCTGACCAACAAATGATGATTGTTAAAAAAATTAATAAGCAACATTTCACAGCTTTTTCTGACAACTTTAAATTCTAACCAAACAAAATCTATGTATCTGTTTTAAATTAAACTAAAACCGTAGAAGTTCCCTTTTTTTTTTTACGGATTCTGTGAAGAAGTAAACATTTGCTCTGGTCGTTAAAGACAAACAGAAACGTGTGCCTGGAAAATAAAAACATTTAAAAACTAGTCTGAGAGATTAAAGCTTTTTTTTCTTTTCTGATAAAATGTTAGATTTCCAGAAGCTTTTAATGTTTCATAAACTTGTCCTCCCTTTTGACTCCACGTTGAAAGCATTCCTGAAGCTCTCAGCAGCTTTGGATGATCAACAGTCTGACATTTAAATTCTGTTTGCTTTCTTTTTTTTGCTGATAAGCTAAATTTACATAAAGCATGGAAACGATTCTAAGGAACTTTGAGTGGAAAATGTTCCTTATTAAACTCATTCATCTTTGATACATGTTTAGAACCACAGCAGCTGATTTATTTGTTTATTGTTTTGTTTATGAAGGTAATATCTGCTAGTGTAAATTACTCTCGCCAGTAAGTGGCGCTATGCCTGCTTTTATTTCGCACCGTTTGCCAGGTTTGCTAATTTTAATGCTAACCAATTGTTAGCATTAGCGAGCATCTGATTTGTCTGCAAGGAATGGCTTCTGAGTTCCTTCCTCTATTTAAGTTGGGATCAACACATGAAATCTGGATCCATATTCACTGTTTAATGTTTCTATTGGTGCAAAATCAGTGTTGGCATCGTTATCAGTCGATAATTAGAATTTACATACTATTTTTTATTAAAACCAATCCTTTTATTCTGCAGCACTCTAGATGTTCTGTGTATCTATTTTAAAGATAATGTACCGTTTTAATGAAAAGTATTTTTCTAAAAGCTTAAACTTTCAAATTAAGGTTAGTTTGCATCAAATTTGTAAGCATTTCTAATTTCGAGAGGATCCTATATGGACTTTGTATTCTTGCTGATTTCATCCTGTCAGATTCATTTAAATCTCACTTTATTTCAGTGTTGTGGTTTTTTATCACTGCAGAATTCCTTCCAGGAATGAGGTTCTTATGAGGGAATGTTAGGATCGTAGTAGATAAGAGGAGGAAAATAACGTGCTGGAGGAGTTAAACTTATAGTGGAGGATTTTGGTGAATTTTTTTAAAAGACCCGCCCTCTCCTCTTTAATTAAAAATGCACATGCACAACCCTGTACCCACTCCCGAGAGGGAACGCCTATTAAACACGTGTGAGAGCGCGCACGAGCCCATTTCTCCTCGTGCACGCTCTGTTTAAAAGATGCTTTTTGCATTGGTCATACAAGCGTACTTTTTAAAAGAAGATTTGCAATTTCTCCATTATGTCAGAGTCACCTCTGATAAGTGAAAATGGGGAGGAGCACATAGGGCGGCCATTTGTAAACGTATCACCAGAATCATTGACAACTTATTTTGTTGATCCACCCGGAAAAAGAACATCCTCCACTAAACCTTTAAGCTCTTCAGAGTCTCAGATGGAGTTTTGGGTTTATTTACCCCAATTTGACCCACTAACCTGTTGGATGCTGAAATAAATTAAAACTGGCAGCTGACCTTAAAGTTCTCCTGCTGTGAATCATTTTGGTTGCTGGAAAATAACCTTAAATCCTAGATTCATCTTTGCTGATGTCTTATCGTTACACCTGTGACTGACTGCAAACTGACCAAAGTCCAGATTTCCTCTGAAAGCAGCAAGGCCAGAAGGTTTTCCCATCTTTTCTGTGTTTAGTTTAGTTCAGTTCTTGGTTTTAGTTTGCTTTCCTCCTCCAGCTTATTTTCTTTTCTTTTTGTTGTTTTATTCTCAGACCTGACGGAGCTGCAGTTGACAGTCTCTGATGTCAACGCTCGTTACGACTCCCTGGGCAGCGAACTGAAGGAGCGTCTGAGCCGCCAGCAGGCCTCCCTGGAGCTCCGGCAGAAGGCCCGGCAGAACGCTGAGGAGCTGAGGAGCTGGCTGAGCGACAGAGAAAGAAGCCTGAAGGAGGGACAGGCCAGCTCCCCGTCTAAGCCTGAGCTGGTGCGTGCTCAGGCGCAGCAAAACAAGGTACGAGAGGCTGTTCTTGGATCTGATATCTGCTCCCTGTTTACCTGACGCTTACAGTCGGTTAAAGGTGCTGCTTTTTTACGCGTTGTTTCGTTCTGGTCCTTCAGGCTCTGCTCTCTGAGCTGGGTGAGCACGCTGGGAAGGTGGAGGAGCTGAAGAGTACATTAAGAAAACTAATCACCGACAATCCGGATTCTCCTGAGGCTGACGGCTGGAGGCAGCAGCTGCAGGAGATCGGTACGTCCTGCAGCTCACAGCTGCATCATTTAATCAGACTTCTGCAGGATGAGTCATAATCTGTAATGATTCTACTCCTTTAGAAATATGCAATGAGATAAACCGCACTAATAATGATGTGTCAAAATACTTACAGTAGTAAAATACCAGCAGCTTAATCTTGTTTTCTATTTATTTGTCTGTAAATATGGTCGACTTTGTCAGAAAATCAAATAAAATAAACCAAAATCAATTTATTTTTTATATTGTTAAAAGGTTTTATTCTATTTTGTACCTTATTTTAAAAAGAGCAATACATTTTATTTATATTTGATGCATTAGATGAAATATTTTAAGCCTTCATTTCTTGTAATTTTCTAAATTTTAAAAATATTCTTAAAATATTTTAGCTTATTAATAGAAAATCGGGTGGAAGGAAAAAGTGTGGTAGAATAAGGTGAAGTAACAGAGTTAAAAAGTTGTTTTAAAACTTTCATGTATACATACATATATTTATATATATATATGTATGTATACATATATATATATGTATGTGTGTGTGTATATATATATATATGTATATATGTGTATATATGCATATATATATATGTATATATGTGTATATATGCATATGTATATATGTGTATATATGCATATGTATATATGTGTATATATGCATATGTATATATGTGTATATATGCATATGTATATATGTGTATATATGCATATGTATATATGTGTATATGTACATATGTATATATGTGTATATGTATATATGTATATATGTGTATATATATATATATATATGTGTATATATACATATGTATATATACACATATATATATATATATATATATATATATATATATATATATATATATATATATTTTAGGGGTGGAATGATTCACAAAATCCACGGTTCGGTTCGATTCACGGTTTCTGGTCACGGTTTTCGGTTCGATTCGATACATGCTGATTGTTACACCGAAATTCCATAAAAAATTATGAAATTAATGAAAAAATCTCCCCAAAAATAATGGATTGTAATTATTTTTAATGATCCGCGGAAACCCTGGATCATTTCCGTATGTTTTGCTGCTTTGAATTTAATCATCTGGCGCCTGCTCTCTAACCTGACAACAGCCAGATGCATGTCTCGCTCATGCCTCGCTCCGCCACATGCATCTGGCTGTTGTCAGGTTATATGCTGTCTACCATCTCCAAGGAACTCAGAGGGAGCAGACGAAGCCACAGTGGAGGCTGTAGGCTTTGCTTTGAGCAGCCGGTCTGGAGCGCAGCGGGGGTTGCTGACGGAGTATGAGGGATTTCGGGGTTAGCATGACATGTTGCTGTTAGCATAAACAAAACGTGTTGCACATTGCTTGCACACTGTTGCACTTTTATCCCCAACTTTCTTTCCGCTGTCATCGTAGGTCACTCTAAATGCAAAGCGCTCCCATACAGCAGACCTATAAAGTGCTGCTGGCGCGTCTTCCAACTCCTGTTCTTTCCCACTCGCCAGTCCGACACAATTCTCCACAACAACTGATTTTTTTCCCCTGCTACACCCGGCTACGCTGCTTCGCTTCTTCTTCTTCTTGTTTACTACTGCCGGTTGGCTTTGGTCGCAGTACCGCCACGTTCTGCTCTGGAGTGTAATCGCTTCCTCTATGAGAAAAAGGAGCAGCGCATGAACCGAACGAAACACACGCGAACCGAACCGAGACAGTCGAACCGAACGATTCTGCCGATTTTCATAAATCGTCCCATCCCTAATATATATATATATATATATATATATATATATATATATATATATATATATATATATATATATATGTATGTGTGTGTGTTTAACATCTGAAGTGTCTTATTTAACGGGATTATTACACAGGGTTATTGCACAGGGTTTTAAATGGGTATTTATTTTCCTGTGGGGGGGTGAGGCGATGCTATCCAGGGAGTGAGTGGGACGAGTTCCTGTCAGAGCTGCTTTTGGACTCATGCAGGGTATTTTTATCGGAGCTTTCTATAACCTAACTGGAACAGAAATATGAGGCCGGCTTGTTTTTACTTCATATTTTCTCATCCTGTTAAACATTCCCTAAGAGTGAGAGGAGATGAAATCGCAACATTATGATCACTTCTGGAGTAACCTTCAGTTCTGATTTCCTCAGACTCCCGCTGGCAAACGGCCAATCAGACGGCAGCTCAGCGGCAGACGGAGCTGGAGACGTGCGCCGACCGGCTGGGCAGCTTCGCCTCAGCAGCCAATCAGCTGGGCCCCTGGCTGAAGGAGAAGGAGCTGATGATGAGCGTGCTGGGGCCCCTGAGCATCGACCCCAACATGCTGAACACCCAGAAACAGCAGGTTCAGGTATGAAGAGAAGAACTGCAGACAAACCGACCCAATCATCTCCTTCCAGCATCTCTGACGGCTCCTTCTCTGCTCTCCTTCCAGTTTATGCTGCGGGAGTTTGACACGCGGCGGCCCCAGTTTGACCAGCTGACCCAGTCTGCAGAAGGCATCCTCTCTCAAACCGGTGACTCTGCTCAGGACCCCAGAGACTTGGAGGAGGTCCGGGCTGAACTGGGCTCTGTCTCCCAGCAGTGGGACGATCTGACAGGCAGACTGACTCAGCGGTCGAGCCACATTGATCAGGCACTGGGAACCAGTGAAAGATACCAGGTAGCTTTGGTTCTGTGGGCTGGAGGGTTCTGATGAGGATCTGCCTGAATGTTCTCTGAGTTCCTGGGCTTCTCCTCTGCTTCAGGGCCTCCTTAAGGAGCTCTCCTCCAGCATTGCGTCCCTGAGCGAGCGGCTGGACGCCCAGGCCTCGCTCAGCGCCCAGCCCGAGGCGCTGAAACACAGGCTGCAGGAGACTGGAGAGATCCGCTCGGAGCTGGAGCGACGTCGGACCGAACTGGCAGAGGCGGAGAAGCTTTGTGCGGAGCTCAGCGAGATCGTGGCCGAGCCATACCTGAAAGAAGAGCTGAGTAAACGCCTGGAGAGCGTCAGCGCACCCCTGAGGAGCTTAGAGGAGAGAGCAGGTTAGCTTCAGCGTTTGTGACATTCAGTCCTGTTGTTCAGCCAGAAAAGAGAACAAATGAAAGTGTCCAAATAATCCATGTTTCCGAGGTGATCGGTTCATAAGTTCAATCCACTCTCTTTCTTCCCTCCTCTCAGCTGACAGCCTCACGCAGCTCCAAGCCGCTCTGTCCTCCACTCAACAGTTCCAGCAGATGTTTAAGGATCTGCGCTCGTGGCTCGATCAGCAGTCCGATCCCAAAGAATCCCCCTCGGACTCCCTGCCCTGCCGACCCCAGGCCATCCGCTCCCTCCTGGCTCAGACCGAGGAGCTGCAGCGCGGAGTCGCCAGCCAGAGGGGCTCCTACGAGCTGATCCAGGCCGAAGGCGTGTCGCTGCTCGCCACCCTTCCCCTTGAGGAGAGGACCGCTCTGCAGTCCCGCCTTGCCTCGCTGAGGCAGGACTGGGAGGGACTAAACCACCGGATCACAGAGCGAGAAACTAGACTGAAGAACACACTGAGCAAAGCAGAAACTTACCAACAGTACAAAGCTGAGCTCACGCCGTGGTTAGCAGAGTGTGAAGAGAAGGATGAGGAGATCCAACCGTCGCTGGATCCATCTGCGCTGGACGGATCGCTGCAGAAAGCCAGGACTCTTTCCCTGGACCTGGAGAGACGCCAGCCCCTGCTGGAGGCTTTTAATACTGCGGCCGATCAGCTGCTGGAGCAGTGCTGCGTTGGCGAGGAAGAGGTGAGAGAGAAACGCAGTCTCTTTGTTTTTTTGAGCAAATTAACGGTTTATTAAAACTTTTTTTAATTCTTAAAGTTACGAGATGAGAAAGCACAGCTGAACCGGCGAGTGGACAGGCTGAGCGAGGGTCTCCTGAACCGTACGGCCCAGCTGGAGGAGCTGTCCAGCCGCCTGAAGGAGTTTGAGGAAGGCCGACAGGCCGTGGAGAGGAGGCTGGAGGCCGCCAAGCATCAGCTTGAAGTCCAAGAAGCTCTTGGACCTCAGGTACTAGAATGCAGCGATCAAAAGCACAAACCATCCAGCTGGTCTGAAATTAAAAAAATCATAAACTAAAAAACAAAACCGTGACTTTATAAAAAAAACGGACCCATTCTCTGTGCAGGCATGCAGCGCGAAAAGTCTGGAGAGACTGAGGAGTCAGCAGGAGAGCCTGAGGTCGCTGCAGCATCAGGTGGTCTACCTCAAAGACCTGGCCCAGGGGCTGGTTCAGGACGCCCCCCAGACACCAGGGGGCAGCACCGAGGGAGCCCGCAGGCTCCAGGAGCAGGCCAAGGAGGCAGAGGAGGAGTATGCCGAGGTCACTGATAAGGTGAGGATGGAATGCCGTGAGCTTCAGTCTAAACAAACGGATTCTCTGTGGTTTGTCTGATTTTTCAATAAAAAAAATTAGGGAAGAATCGTGAAAAGTGTGAATATTTTTCTGAGCTTTCGCTGCTTTTTAGCTCCATTCAGGAAGGAGAAAACTCTTTACTTCCGCAGAGAACGATGTTAAATGCAATTAATGGCTGCAATCAGGGTCAGATTTTCTCTCCAAATAGTTTAATTTACTTTGTGTCATTTTAAATGTGCAGCCTTTTTTTCTGACCTTTTTTTTTAGCGCCTATTAAAGCAGAACTCATATAATGAAGTGGGAAGAAGCTGGACATCCTTGGCGACGATTGATGAACGCAACCGCAGCAGTTATGAAACATCAGCAGTTTATTCTAAAGCAGAGCCTCTGTCAGGGCTGGGGGGGGGGGTAATACCAGCGCTGCTCGTCTTCCAGCAGTCATATATGGTCAGTGTGGACATTCAGCACGCCATCATCGCTGGAGATGTAAACCAGAATGAGGGGAATTCAAAGCCGCAAAGCTGCATCTATTCTCACGTTCCATTTAAGGTCACTGGATATAACTGGGGGGTGTTAATTACTGACATTATTTTAAATCTTTGCTCCTTTGCCATCGCTGTGGAGAAGAAAAGGTTTTTCTGGGTGTTTTCTGCAATTATTAGAGGAGCAACAATGAAAATAATTCTTTATTATCTGAAGGTATGATTTTAGAGACGTCACACCACTGGCGGCTGGTGGAGTTTTCTCCAGGGGGGGGGCTATAAATTCAAAATAGACGTCTACCAAAAAGCAATTAAACACATACACACCAGTACATTTATATGAATGTCAACAACAAATACGGTATAAAAGCACTTTATAAAAACAAAACATAATTTCATGTACAGGTTTAATTTTTGTATAAAAATCTTCAACTGAGGTTTTGTGAAGATAAATTTGTGTTTTGCATGGTCCAATATTGTCTTACAAACCCTAAAAAATTATATAATTTATATATTAAATAATAATTATTAAACCAAATTAAATAATGGAGAAGCTATTAGTCAGATTTATATTTTTTAATATATATAAAAACGATTTATTTTCTGAAAATGTGTTTATTTAAGAGAAAGTATGCAAATTAACAAACATCTATGAAAAAATGCACTGTATTATTTCATTTTTCATGTGAATTCCAGATTCTTTATTCTTCTATGCCTTTTCTAAAAAGTGCTTTAAATCAGTCCTAGCTGTCTTTATGCTCAGTAAGAGGCTGACGTTTGAAAAAAGGAGGCAGGGAAAGAAGGATAAAGCTTTAGCCTCGCTGCATGCAGTTAGCCAAGCCGTGTAGCTAAACCAGGTCCTGGAAAAGGACGTTTCTTGCATCATTTCTCTCTCACTCTCCAATGCGACTCCTGTCACTCAACCTGTCAATCACCTGCAAAACACTGAGGCAGGAGATGGTGAGCAAATGCACTTCCTGTCACCTCAGGTCGCCTCTGAGCTGCGCGCTGGGCCGTCCTGTACATTGTTATTGCAGAGGAGCGACTGCACATAGACAACTTTTAACGAGAGTCAATGGGTAAACATTCTAGGGTGGAAATATGTCATAAAAATTCATAAAAATTGACGCAAACATAAAAATTGACGCTTTATTTGTCATTTAAGATTCATTTTTTATCTTGCACATCTAAAAAATATATATCAATCTATTTCAAAATATTTTACATTTTTATTTAAAATAAAATATTATAAAAAAATATATTTTTTATGTCTTAATCAGGGTTAGTGAGTGGGTGGGTGGAGCGGCACCATAGCGCCCTCTATTGGTCAGCTGCCACTGCATCACAAGCAATCTCTTTGTAAGAAGGAGAAAGATGGCGGAGAGTGAGCCAAATGTTCACCTGAAGACAATAATTTGCTTCAAACCTTAGAAGTTCTCATGACGGCAGCAAGTTATTAGTTACTCACTTTATCCCTGGACCCGTTTCTTTGAACAGGGAGGGTCAGAGCAGAGAGGGTTACGCATCTTGTTTTGGTCTACAGATAGTGCTCAGCGACCCCATCTGGTGGTGACATTTCACTTATTTCTCCTTTAAAGGAGCATAGAGCAAGTTCCAGAGTTTTTGCAGAAGTCTGCCCCCTGAGGTGGCAGGATGAAATGACACCAGTGTTGATGTCGCTCAGGTGTTGAGTTTAGAGACGTGATTTAATCTGATATAAGAGGATACTTTGAAACAGAGCGTCTTTTTAGGACCATTCCCAGTGCAAACATGAACTCCATTCCTTTTTGAAAGCTACCCCAATATTTACCTTCATTTTATGACGAAGACAAAGATCAGACTCTCTTCTCAGACAAAACTTTCATTTTTTAACTATTTTGTGGCGTTTTGATGGGCCTTGAGATGAACCTGTGGCTGCTCTTTGTGTTCCATTTTCACAAAGTATCACTTCTGTTCTGTCTTTGTAGCAGAGACCCAACGTAGCGTCTTTATACTTGTACAATACACCTTTAAGAATAGCAAAACACATTTTATCTGTTTCTTCTTCCGTTTCTACTTTTTTTGTCATAGCTTTTTAAAAAGTTGAACTAGGGTTAGTATGTGTGCTGCATCCGTGAAATTTTCCCTTAGACTTCAGTGAATTTGTAGAAAACAGTCAGAAAACTGAGATATTTTCTTTGGTTTAGCTGTCTTTTAAAGTAGAAACTCTAAACAAATTTTAACTGTCGTTTAATTTTTTTTCCATCTTTATAACTAAATGATTACGTGTTTGACCTTCTGAAAAAATCAGACAAACTTTGCTTTATAAGCTGCTTTTATACTCAGTTTTATCATTTCTTTAGCATTTTTATCATATAACTCAGTGTGAAGTTTTCTGTCAAATCTCCCCAGACTGCGGAGTCTACACATCCAAACCCAAATAAACTCTCACTATGAAAGATGTCTGATTTGTTTCTTTAAGAACTGAAACACAAATTACTTTTTAACCTCTAAAATTTAAATGTTTACATCAGAATCTTCTGTCAGACATGATTAATGTTAATTAGCGTTATTATACCAGATTGCTCACCCTGTCTATTTATTTCAGGCTTAAACTCTGATGAAAAAAATATTAGCTCCCGCCTCAATACTCCCTCGTAAAGGCGGGAATCCCCATGGCAACCAATAACTTAGCACTGTCTGTTTCTCTGGTTTTGGCTTCACTCAGCAGCTGCTTATTTCTTGGGTTGACTTCAAAAAGTTATGTTTTCTTTGATTAGAAAAGCTTCTACTGTAGTTTGATGGCAGGTTTTCTCTAAAACCAGGTTTTAGATTTTTAAAAGCATCTTAATTCCTTTGTTTAGCTGGCCAGAAAAAGGCAGTCTTCCTGTATGAAGGAAGCCTGTGTGTGGAGGCACCGTTTTAAAGGAGATTCTCCATTTTCCTGGATCATTGTCATGTAAACAGGCCTTTTATTGATCTGTCATCAGGTCACTTTCAAAGAATTTGATAAGTGATTTGCTTCGTATCATTTCCTGGTTTAGTTCCAGGTTCTGCAGAAAGCTGCTAAGATTCAGCAGACAGAACAATAAATGTCTTTGTATTCTATTTTCTCACTATAAAAACTGAGTCTTAATCATGTGACATTTCTCACCATGTTGCAGAGTTTTCCATCCCACTTTTATATAAAATAAGGTTCTCTGTTTCAGAAATGACTTACTGATACTTTCTGAAACCCAATCAGTTTTATTTTGTAACTTTTGGTCCTTTTCAAACCAAGCTAACTTGACTGAACCCTGTGTCCCGCCATCAGATCGACCAGTGCTGCTCTTCCCTGGAGTCCCGCCTGCAGGGTGTCGGCGAAGTCCAGACTCACGTGCGGGACGTCTTCTCCCGCCTCGCTGACCTTGACGATGAACTGGACTCTCTGGGTCCCGTTGGACGTGATGCAGACTCCCTGGCGTCGCAGGCCGATGCCGTGAAAAGCTTCTTGTCCCGCCTCTCCGACCTCAGGACGGAGCTGGAGGGACACTCCACAGAGTGCACCTCCATGCTGAGGAGAGAGGGCTCCTCGCCTGACCTGCTGGCTCTCAGGAGGGAGACGGAGGCGTTGAGTCGGCAGGCTGGGAAGGTGAGGAAAAAGGACAACCTTCCTTTGCTACTTCTGATGACTTTGTGCTGAAATGTTTCCTTCATTGGTTCTTTTCTGTTCTCCAGTTGAGTGAACGCGGCCAGGCCAGGCTGGTCCAGATCGAAGACGCGGCCGAGAGAGTCCAGGACTTCTACCGGCTGGTGGCGGAGCTGCAAGGCATGCTGGGAAGAGCCGAAGAAGGGCTGAACTCTCAGGGAGCGGTCGGCACGGAGGTGGAGATGATCAAACAGCAGCTGCTGGAGTTTAAGGTAGGACAGATGACTGTGGGCAGTGACTAACCTTTAATGTCAAAATGAAACAAGAATAAAAATGAGCGATTTTACATTTAAAAGGAAAAGTCCGGTCAGCAAGTAATAACCAATGGGTCATTATTTATACCTAAAACTAATACCTTAACAGTGATTTAATCAGTAAAATAATAAAAATAATAAATTTCGTTGCAATCCGGAGTCCGGGAGCGGCCATTTTTGCCCAAACATAGTAACCCCTCCCTCCTGCCATCTTCCCGCAGTGACGTCACGGTGCGGTAAGCCTAGCGCCATTCTCCCTAACCTGACTCCACCAGATGGATTTGCTCCGCATATCCATCTGGAAACCTTCCGTTGAAGTAATTTTGGGAAGGGGCGAAAATACTGGTTAGCTGATTAGCCTAAGTTGGTGATAGACGGGCCAAATAAACCAATAAGATCAACGAAGCATATGACGTGCTAACAGACTGACGACGAAAACACAACCACAAGCCAGGCTACTCTTGCCGAAACTAGTCGGGAGAAGAGCAAAAACATCTTTTCCTCTTAGAAAAGCCTCCAGAGCAGTGTTTTGCTCTTCTTTCAGTGAAGAAATACTCTGTAATTCCGATAAAACTTGCTCGATAGCCACGCTAACGCTAGTTTCATCGGCTGAAGCCGCCATGTTCTTTAGACTGAACTGTCGCACTTCTCGTTGCGTCACACCTCAACCCGCCTCAAAGCCAACGCTGATTGGACGTTCGTTTGGTGAACGGCTCCAAATTTTCTTTAACGGAGAGTCTCCAGACTGATTTGCGAGTGAAAAGAAAAAAAGTTATTCCACCTTTCCGATTCCCGATCCTCCACGGACGGGTTGGTCGTTGGATCGCCAACTTGAAGAGGGAGGATTTGCCATCGAACTTCTGGCCAGAGAAAAAACCCGTAATATGTAGCCAACATTTGGAAGAAGAATGTTTTCAAGATGACTTGGATAATGGCGCGTTGTGACAAACACCAGATACAGCACTGGGACTCGATCAACAGCCGATACCGCACCGTGACGTCACAAACCAGTAGGTGGCAGTAGTGTTCTTTAACAAACATGGATGCCTCCAGTAAAGCACATTCAAAGGAAAATTACTCTGAATTAAAAATACCTATTGATTGAAAAGTATGTGATACTTTCATACTTAAAGAACTTTTAGAAGTCAGTATTCTTAATGTGAGCGGACTTTTCCTTTAATTCATAATTTTACCTCAAAACATCACAAATTTCTTCCCAGCTGAGTTTTATTGTTCCGGTTATAAGCTGTGTTTTATTCTGAGCTTTTAGCATTAAATTCTTCTTGCTCAGACTGAACAGGAGAAACCATCAGTACAGAACGAGCCTCGGCTCACAGCGCTGTTCTTTGTGCAGCATTAAAAGTGTCAGTGAATATTTGTGCCTCCAGAGATCTTAATTTGAAGGGACTGTGTTTGTCTGCTGGTCGGTGTTTGCTCTGCTGAATCACGCTGCCGTTTCGTCCTTTGATGTAGCTTCGCTGTCGCTGTTTGTCAGGAAGTTTTCCAACAAACCCCCCGTTCCTAATGGAGATCATTAAAACGATCTCAGTTTGGCTGTGATGGTTTCAACGTTTGAACAATATAATTGCTTAAATAAGCTTGATTTTTAGCTTAGAAGAAAAGGATTTCCTATGATGTTTCAGAAGATTATTTCTATTCGTGTCTCTGTCTTTTGCATTTTGAATTTTCAAATTATATAAACATAAATATTTCAAAATTGATTGCCCGATGTTCTCAGTTATCCGCTATAAAAATTTGCGAAATGTTAAAAAGATTTTATTTGGTGGGAAAAGTTTTTATGAGTGTTCATGATGATCCTTGTTGACGGTTTTGATCTTGTAATTATGATGCAGACCAAAGACTAAATTTGATGCCAGTCTGTCTGTTTGCTTCCTTCTCTTGTGGTTATGACTGGCCGGGTTTGTAAAATCTGTGGCCACAGCTGTGCAGCTTTTGTTCTGCTTCCAGCTTTTATCTCAGGCGTTTGTCCTGAGATAGGGACACAGCCCTTCGTTACAAAGCTTTACTATATTTTTAGTTCTTTCTTTCTGTCTTTGTTCTGTCAAATAAATCTTAAAAGGAAAATATAAAACTAAGGAGGACAAAATAGCTTAACCCTTCTGGTTATAAATCCTCTCCATGGTTAAAATATGTTTATATTTACATAAAAAATTCACTTATGGTCAAATGAACTACAGAAAGACATGAGGGGATGTGTTTATTCTGAAACTACAAAGAACAGAACAATCTGTTATTTGTCTCTAAGCAGAATAAATAAGATAAACTTTGCAACTTAAAACCGACTAACACTATCACATATCGTAATGACTAAAATGTGACTAAAACTAATAATAGTCTTCATCCTGAGGACAAAAAGTAAGAATAGATCTAAACCACGCTGCCCTAGTGGTATAGTGGCTTTATTTAATGGCCTGCTATGTTTATTTATATGATCAAGGTAAATATTTCTTTAAAAAAATATATAATTTTCAGTTTAAAAAAGGATCATGTAGAAAAACTTCTCTATTTCTATTGATTTGTCCTTTATTTTTTACGGAGCTCCTAAATACGGAGCCCCTAAAGGGAGATGGAGGAAAAAAGTAAACTTTTGCGTGATCCCGCAAAACTTTTGCAAGATCTCACAAAAGTATTGCGGGATATAGCTAAAGTTTATTTTTTGCGAGATCCCGCAATACTTTTGCGAGATCCCACAATAGTCTTGCGAGATCCCAAAAAACTTTTGCGAGATCTCACAAAAGTATTGCGAGATCCTGCAAAAGTTTTGCAAAAGTTTATTTTTTGCGAGATCCCGCAATACTTTTGCGAGATCCCGCAATACTTTTCCAGGATCTTGCAATACTTTTGCGAGATCTCACAAAAGTATTGCGGGATATAGCTAAAGTTTATTTTTTGCGAGATCCCGCAATACTTTTGCGAGACCCCACAACAGTCTTGCGAGATCCCGCAATACTTTTGCGAGATCCCACAATAGTCTTGCGAGATCCCACAAAACTTTTGCGAGATCTCACAAAAGTATTGCAAGATCCTGCAAAAGTTTTGCAAAAGTTTATTTTTTGCGAGATCTCGCAATACTTTTTCGAGATCCCGCAATACTTTTGCGAGATCCCGCAATACTTTTGCAGGGTCTTGCAATAGTTTTGCGAGATCTCACAAAAGTATTGCGGGATATAGCTAAAGTTTATTTTTTGCGAGATCCCGCAATACCTTTGCGAGATCCCACAACAGTCTTGCGAGATCCCGCAATACTTTTGCGAGATCCCACAATAGTCTTGCGAGATCCCACAAAACTTTTGCAGGATCTTGCAATACTTGTGCGGGATCTCGCTAAAGTTTATTTTTTGCGAGAACTCGCAATACTTTTTTACTTTTGCGAGATCTCGCAAAAAATAAACTTTTGCGGGATCTCGCAAAAGTATTGCGGGATCTCACAAAAGTATTGCGAGATCTCGCAAAAGTTTATTTTTTTCCCTCCATGTCCCTTTAGGGGCTCCGTAAATTTTTATATAGTAACATTTTGTAATTTGTGAGTATATGATTCTACTTATGATTAAGTATGGATACAATCAGGCATTTATATTTTATAGATTATATTCAATGTCTTCTTAAACAGCTGCTTATTTAACAGCATGCATTTTATTGTAGATAATTAGTCTGTGTAATTATTCCAAACAAACTGAAAAATACTAGGAATTGAAAATCACTCAAAGAGGATTAAGAACCTGGTTAAAATCATTTTACTTTCATACATTTCACATAATCATTCTGCACAGACATCCGCTGCTCTGACAGGAGATCATTGCCTGATCCTTCTCTCTAATTTAGCATTAAGTAATGAGCTGGCTTCTGGCAGGTTCTCTGCAGCCACCTTCATTTATTCTTAATGTGCTCCTCCAGTCCCCGTGTCGGGGCACAGGCTCGTCTTTAAAGTCTGCGTACCTTAAACATGAAGCACGTTCCTCTCATCATGATGCATTATCCTGTCCACTTATCCACAAGCATGTGAGATATTAGTGTGAAGATGCATGAGTCCAGCAGGCGCAACCAGAAACCAATAAAACACCGCTTAGTCACTCAGGGATCCGGAAAAAAAAACATAAATCTTATTTTCAAGAAAATAAAGAAATCTTTTTACCTGCTTTAACTTGTTTATTTAGATATTCAGCTCCGTCTCCCTCCTTTCCTGTAACTTTACTCTTCTTTGATGCCTTGCCCACCTTTGTGGGTCGCTTCCTCTTTTTTCTTTCACCTCTCTGAGGTTTAATGAGAACAAGCAGTGAAATATGCAGCAGAGAACAAACAGACAGAGCAGATAAAGAGCCGTTGAAAGAAAACGGCAGAGAGAATAGATTCAAAGAAAACTGTGAATAGATGAACAGTACATGCAATTAAATTCAATTCAAAATATTTAATTGATCCCAAAGGGAAACGTTTTGTGTGTAATGTCTGTGAAAAAGAAGCCTGGGTTGGAGAGTTGAAAGTTGATTTATGGGTTATGATTCCATGTTGGTAAGCAGATTTTTAGGAACAAATAACAATGAATGAATAAATTCACTGATCAGTATTTTGACTTATTTACATTATGCTGCTGAGCAGATCAGGAGCACCAGGGGGCTCATTTTAGTATACATTAAAACTAAAGCAAAATTTGTTAGGAAAAATATGACAAAGTTGCTTATGATGGTTATGTTTAATTGCTGCTATATAGTGTTTTTTTTCTTATTTTAGGAAAAAAAAAATCTTTAAAGGTATAGAGGACGATCTTTTATTTCTGGGTGGATCATCCTAACTGTCAATCATACTGGTGATATGTTTACGTAAGGCCGTCCTACGTGCTCGTCCCGTTAGCTATCTTTTCTGCCCATGAGCACTTTCAGGCGTATGTCTGTGGTGAGCTACGGTTTCAGACAGTCATTGAAGCTCACCTTTCTCACTCTCAT